GCTGCTGGTGGTGGGTTGTGAGGTGCTGCTGCTGGTGGGTTGTGAGGTGCTGCAGGTGGGTTGTGAGGTGCTGCTGCTGGTGGGTTGTGAGGTGCTGCTGCAAGTGGGTTGTGAGGCACTGTATCCTGCTGCATTACAGGCACGTCGTGAGCAGCAGGCGGTGCAGGCGGAGGCGCAGCAGTACCAGGAGCAGGTGCAGGAGCTGCTGCAGATGCTGCACGGGGAAAGCGGCCGTGTGTCGCCGCTGGATGCTTCTGATGTCAGTTGTAGGTTTAGGTTTAGACGAATTATTCGCTTAGGCACATTTTTTTATTTGATTATGAACATGTCATAGGTGCTTAATGTCTCGTGTCCGAGAATTTCGTTCTTCCACTTGAGAAGTTGTAACAATTTTCTATTTCTGGCTATCACTTTCCGTAAATCTTTTAGGTTATCTATTTACTCGTCTTTTTGCAGCTTTTTCTTGTTTTCGTACGTGTTATAAATAAAGTATATAAATCTCGCTTTCATACATTCCGTATTCCTTGAAGTCATTCACTCTTTCTAAAAGTCATCTCAGTCTGTTGTAAACATTATCCTATCTGATTTACTCTATTCATTTCCGTGTTGTGCCGAATTCCTATTAACTTCCTTTAAACATTTGACTAATTAATTCATAGTTTCAGTTATTTACATGCTCAGTTTATTTAAATCGCAAATATCATTAGAGCTCATGTTGCGAATTGTATGGCAGGAGGATGCACTGCGACGCGTCCGTCAAGAACGCGACGTCCTGCGTCACGAGTTGCGTTTCTACAAATCCCAACTGAACGCCGCCCAACGCGACCGCGAAAACGAAGCAAGACGCCGGCGACAAGCCGCCGATGCCCAAGAAAACGCGGCCCAGCGTCCTTTTGGCTCCGACGTTCAATTAACGAACTGCGCGAGTGGAACTTTTGCTGGACAAGCTACTGATGGTGAAATGGGTGCTGGTCGCATGAATGGATATGACAGTAGAATGCAGGACGCTTCAGGAACTTCAGCTTTGGATGGAGGGTATAGAGCGTCAGGGTCTCCTAGCCAACACAGAGCTTTCACTGACGCTGGACAAGGTTATGAGCAACTTGCTTCTGGCTCGAAAGGTTCTGTTGCTGGGGACGTCCAAGCGTCGTCTGCTGCTGGGTTCCCAGCCCCGCCTGCTGCTGGATTGCCAGGAGCTCCTGGGACATCTGGTCCTCCCAGCCGCCCTCTGAGCGCGACGGGCCGCGGGCTGCAAGGGATCCTGCGGTCATCGTCACGAGGTTCTCGATCTTTGGTGTCAGCGGAAGGGTCCCTTAACGCCAGCCCTCCTAGTGGGGTAGCTGATGGTGCTGGTAGTTTTACCGGCCGAGATGATAGCTTGGTCGGTGTAGTTGACGGTGCCATGGTAGCTCATGACGGTGACGAGGCATCGAGACTGCGGATTCCCACGACCAATGGATTACAGATCCCAGCTTCGATTGCTCGTGCCAGCCTTGCTTCCCTTGCTCCACCACCCGGCCGTGCGACCGCCTCTTCTGCTGCTGGTATTGCTAGCTCCTCCCTTGATCCTCTTCATGGTCCTGCTCATGGTCCTCCCCATAGTCCTCCTCATGGTCCCGCCTCTGCTAGGTCTTCGCCAGCAGCGCCGACTCTTGACTCGGTGGCTTCTTCTTCGCCTGAGGCGCTCGCTACTTCGGGTACAAAATCCCAAATATTAGAAAGCTTTTTCTACATATTTTGCGCTTGAAGCTTTGCTTGAATATTTAGCATGTATTCTAGGAGTCTTACTCTAAGTCCTTTGAACAAGCCTACTCATTACTCCATTTATATCTAATTTTTTTTAAGAATTGCATGATTTTTTAGTTAAGTTGCTGAGCCATCGTCGAAGACAGTCGATGGTTGTCCGTAGCGTAATTTATAAGTGCCTCAGAAGTGCGTGTTAATCCTACCTGAGAGGCTCGCTCCGATTACTCGGCATGAGTTTCTGAAATAGGCCCTTATAAATAAGACACAGTTGAGGCCTGTTGACTACACTAATAAACACTTTCTTCATCTTAGTTGAATGAAGCGTGTCTGTCACCACATAAGTGATACTAGCGATCACTACACTGCTGCTGGCGACGTAATGCTAGTGACGCAATGCCGAGTTGTTGTGTTGTACATTTTACGTACCAAAGAAAGCAAGCTATCGAAAAATTCAAGTTTATTAACATTTTTATCAGCCCAATTTAATTTTCTCTTGAGAACTTGTACTTTCTTTGTTATTTTTTTTTGTCTATATTGTCACACACAGGATTAAGTACTTTGATTTAAACATTATGGAGTAGGACGTTACGAGCACTGCGCGAGTTCGCCAAATGATGCGTCTTTATGCAGCGCATAATCATTGCGCTACTCACTGTATTATGCCTCTATATTCATTGAAACAGTGACAACTTTCAATGAAACATAAATATGTGACACATTTTTTTTGTTATATAACACATTGAAAATTTAGAGATTAATGCAATTTTTCTTGCCGTTTTGTCTGGAATATTCCTGCTTTAGACCAACACGGATTCATTGAACTCATGATGTAGGACGATTACTAACTCTTTTTTTTAAATTTTTTTTATTAGTAACTCGTGTGCCAGAAAAGTAAAGTAGCTCCAGGGACATCTGGCGAGAGCTTACATATCTTTGTACGGTAAGCTTTTGTTACGGGTCCGTCGTTCTTCTATAACCAAACAGTTTTGATAAGGTTTTGTATTTAATGTTATTCTATAATAAAATATCACGAATCAATTGAAAATATTATGAGAGCTACTTGACTCCGGATAACAGGACGTGGTGTGGGGCGAACGGTGACAGTAGCAGAGCCTCCCTACGCTGCTGCAGGCGCTAACGATGGTCTGCAGGTAGGTCGCCTGCTGCGAGTTTATGCGAATAATTTCTCTTGTATGTTCCTTTATTGAATATAAATTTTTAAGTATGGTTCTCGCCTTAACTGTTAATGATTATTGTCTCCAGGGAGCAGGGTTGGCAATGATTAAATCAAAATGATTAAATCATGTGATTAAATCACTTGATTTTTTTATAAAAAAATCATGATTTTTTTTATTTTTTCGATTTTTTTGATTTTTTTGATTTTTTCATATATTTAAATATATTGAGTGGCAGTCTTTAATTTATATTGAGGTATTGTTATTCATGGTTTAGTATAAATGTACTATGAATGACAAATTGGTATATAAACTTGTTGCCTTTAGTGTGTATTACTAGTATTAGGTTCCAATAAATTGAATGTTTTTGGTACAGAGGCATCAAGTGTGCAATACATTGTACGTAGCTAGCAGCTTAGCTAATTCTTATAGGGCTATAAGTAGTCTTTAACTATTTGACTATTTGTTATATATTGATTACATTATACAACTTAAATGTGTTAGCTAGCTTATACAGGGTGGGGCAGAACTGATTGAACAGTTTTGAGGCAAAATAACAGAGTATTGGAGGTACATAAAGAAAAAAGTTTATTTTCCTCAAGATTAGCATAACATACCATTTAAAATACTTATGTTTTGAAAACAATATCAGGAAGATGGGGTTTGTTAGCTGCATCGCACTGTTTGAGTCGTTCTTGGAAGTTTTCTACAGCACGTTCACACATATGGCGAGGTATGGCCATAACCTCTGCTGCAATAATCCGTTCCCTTAGCTGTGGTAGGGTGTGAGGGAAACTTCTGAACCTCTTTCTTTTAGATGTCCCCAAAGAAAGAAATTGCAAATGCTCAAATCAGGTGACCTTGTAGGCCACTGTAAATCACCCCTCAGAGACACCAGACCTCCGGGAAATATGCATTTCAAAACATTGAGTGACATTTGGGCTGTGTGAGCTGTAGCCCCATCCTGCTGGAACCACACGTCTCCAATGTTTCATTTTCAACAATGTTTTCCATCCTGGGCTGCAAGAATTTTGCAACATAGCAGCATAGCGATCAGAATTCACTGTTACGGTTACTCCCTCCTCTGAGAACGACTCTAACAGTGTGTTGTTGCTAATGGCCCCCATCTTCCAGATATTGTTTTCAAAACACAAGTATTCTAAATGGTATGTTATGCTAACCTTTAGGAAAATAAACTTTCTTCTTTATGTACCTCCATTACTCTTTCATTTAACCTCAAAACTGCTCAATCGGTTCTCCCCCACCCTGTATATTGAGAGGTTGAGATTGTATTGACCTTTTAGGCAATTAGAAAGATTTTCCACCCTAATATGAGTATTGTAATTGAAATATTTAATTTCAATCTTTAAATATGTGAATTTAAAACTAGAAACAAAACAATTACAAATTATAAGACTATATATAAAATAATTAAATGCAGTGAATGGATATAAAATATTTGAATTGTGCACATGTTTATTTCAAACAGTATTAGATTTTCTCATAACTTAAGTCTTGTTTCAAGTTGTATGAGGTTTGTTTGGTTTTCGTTCAGTTTATGTTTAGTATTGGTTTATTGGTCTGAATTAAATGGGAACAGTGCAGTCAGTCACTCAGTCACTACTAGTCGGTGTGTATAGAGGGTAGAGTCTGGTAGATTTATAGGACATAAAACTGGTAGATCTATTGATAGTGTTGTGCACTGTGCTTTCAGCCACCTATCTGTTACTGTTATGTGACTCTTCAATGTTTAGAAGATCTGCATTCCTGAAGTGTTTTTGTATATTGAAGCCAGTTAAATGGTCAATATTTAGCTCATTACCTTGCTCCATACAAACTTCACAAAGCTAATGAATAGACTTACCAATAACTGTTTACCCAAAAATCCCTAAGTGGTAAATACCACCTTGGCCTGTTGGTCATTATTGGAGGCAATAAGTGCCCTTTTTAGCCATCCATTATGATCCATATACTGTTATTGTTAGTAGGCTAATTGCAACATAAAAAATAAAACTTCAAAAAGACAAAAAAGTTGAAAAAATCAAAAAAATCAAATGAATCAAAAAAATCATGAAAAAATCAAAAAAATCATTGATTTTTGATTTTTTTGATTTTTTTAAAAAAATCAAAAAAATCACCAACCCTGCCAGGGAGGTCGTGTGCAAGCTCTTAACTGAGATGCTTGATCTTTATTGTCCAAACATATTTTATGCTTTGTTTATGTATGTTTGTGTGTTTGTTTGTTGTGTGTTTTGTTTATGCTCACGTTGGCCAGGCCGATCGTGTTCAAATCTTTTTTATAAGATTTACTGATTTCGAAAAAGATATCGTTTTTCATGTTTCAAAATTAACTCAATTGGCTCTGATGAATTCATCATTTGTAAACATTGCGATTCTTGCCAAACGTAGGACTAATTCATCATCAATACTAAAATATGGTATATTAGTATACTATAGTATAGTATAATGGTAATATAGCATCATTATCGTAATATTATTATCGTTATAAACAAGGCACAGGATCTGGGCCAGACTGTACGGCAGTTGGAGGCGCAAGTGTCAGGGTTGGAGCAGCAGCTGAGCGCTGCCCTCCAGGAGAAGGAGTTCTTCCAGCGCCAGTACAGCGCCCTGAAGAACTCCAGCGCTGCTGCTGCTCAGGTGACGGCAGGTTGTGGGCTTTTCATCTACTGATTTGTAGCTCCTGAATAGGGGGGGCATTTGATATTAACAGGTGTTTATAAGTAAAAGTTTTCGCAGTGTTGAGTGGTCCTGAAATTAATTAATTCGATGTTAGATTTTCTTTTTGAATTTTCATCACAGCGACGCACTAAAATTGGTGAACGACGAAGGTTTATTTTATTTTTCTTGTCATAAAAGATGACGCGGCTTATGATTAAGACTGAAGAATGATGATGAAGATGATGATCATGATGATGATGATGATGTTGATGAAGATGATGGTGATGATGATTCCTTGCTCGGTGGTTCGCCTCCTGTGGCGCAAGGGGGACTCGCCCGGGGCCGGCAGCTGTTGGCCCCTGGAGCGGCAAAGGATCCACCAGGGGGCGGGGTGCTATGTGGGGTCAAGCCGCAAGGGGAGATGCCCAACACCCCCCCGCTCACAGCAGAGGAAGAAGGGAGTAGCCGCCCCGGACCCCTCTTTAAATACTTTCGAGGCGATCCCCGCCAGTCTAAGTTACCCCATTTTACGGTAGTAAAATCAATTTTTTTTTTTGGGAAAATAATTCCAAATAACTCCAGGTTTTGGTGCATTGTAGTAGAACCCTTCTAGTTACGTATGCAAATTACAAATTTGAGGGAAGTGTCATAGCTTGCAAATAGGGGTGCTGCCCCATAATGGGGGAAATGGGGAGATACCTAATGGCAGCCCTTACGGGTAATATTGACCAGCTTGGATATTCAGTTAAAATTACCATATATAAGACTATAGAGTTTGAAACATAAAGAAAAAACATTAATAGGTGTATCAAACATAAAATATGTTATATATGGTACCTTGTCTTAACTTTATTTCCAAGCTGGTCAATATTACCCAGTCAGGGCTGACATTAGGTGGTCAGCGTTCCTCCATTAGGGGGCGGTACCCCCCATTTGCAAACTATGACACTTCCCTCAAATTTGTCATTTGCCTATGTAACTAGAAGAGTTCTTCTACAATGCACCAAAACCTGGAGCTATTTTACCAAAAAATAAAAAAATTGGAGAGGGTTCTACGACAGGCTTTAAATAATAGCTCTTTTTTTGTGGGTCACATTTTCCATTTTTTAACCTATTAGATATGCAAACTTTTTTAATCTTTCTATTGTGGTACGTAGCTTCAGTATTAGGCCTTTAATGCCCATTGACAAAATTTTTCTATGTCAAATAGTTTTTTGAGTTTTGGGAGTTTTTGTTAAAAAAACTAAAAGTGGTCAAACTAACCCTGGGAGTCAAAGTAAAGTTAAGGTAGATTTTAACATACAAGTTAAGAAGTTAGTCATATTATATTTTTTACCAGTAATAGAAAGGATGCAGTCAATGAAAAAACATAACAAATCTCAAATGCACATATTTTTTAATAGCATGGAAGTGAAACAAATACGGCATTCCGTCACAGTCTCAAAATCCAGTTTATCACATAAAGTGAGTGAAAATAATTAAAATAATAAAACTATGGAATACCAGTCATATTTCCTTTATCATTTGATGATTTGCACCAATTTCTAGACATTTTCATGTTTTTCTATTTTCTATCATTTTCTAGACTATACCACAGAGCCATTGTACAATAGTGTTCCACTTCATTTGTTGCAAGGTTTTTTTGACTGTAGTAAGTTGTGGAACACATAGGTCCCACATGTTTTTTCTCACCATGTCCAGTCTAATGCATATAGAGCTATGCACCTCCTTTCACTGCAATGGCAAGCGTCAAACTAACTTGGGAAATGAAATTTGTCACTGTCTGCTAGGGAAGCTTGGCATATGAGCAATCAGAGTCAATGTGTTAATATATTGCCAGATTTGGTAAATGGTGTCTGTTCATGTATCACCCCATTGATTTTTACTCATTAAGCTAGAGTCTCTCTGTATCCAAAGGGGCTTTGCTGCCACAAAATAAATGCAAGGTAATTTTTTTTTCTTATATGAAAGTGGGCAAAAATCTGCTCCCCGATCTTTGAGTGAAATTAAATTCCATCAAATCCTTGCGGCTTTGCTGCCACAAAAGAAATACAAGGTAATTTTTTTCTCCTTCTCATTTGAAAGTGGGCAAAAATCTGCTCCATGATCTTTGAGTGGAAATAAATTCCATCAAATCCAAAATGACGGATTAGTTGGTGTTGCTTTTCACCACTCAAGTCTCAACTGATATTGCACTTAACACATCGCTTGTCAATAAAAAAGTATATACAACTATAATGTTTTACACAATGATAATTTGTATTCTGTATTGAATTCATATTATTAAGAAAAGTTCTATAAGAATGTTTCAAAATTGCCAAAGAGGTGTAATTTAATTTTTTTGATATTCTATTATTTCTTTTGAAAGTTGACTACATATGTTCTTTAGGGCCATGTATATATAGTAACTATAAGTGACATGGCAAATTTAGGTGGCATTGACAGTAAAGACAATCAATACACAGATAATCTTAGCAGGTACAAACAAAAACTCACTTTTTATTTCTGAAGACTTGAAACTAAAACTTATTTTATAATTCAGCAAATATTTTATGATCATGAGTGTCAAAAGGATGCAGTTGGATTAATAATGAATATATGAATCACTGTTCATTCAATTGCACCTGGTCCTGAGCGACAATGTCAGCCAGATCTTTTCCTCATTTTTTTAAATTATAAAATTTCTCCTAGACAGGTCAATTCACAACACTTTCTTAGTTATTAGCAAAATTTCATCATCAAGCTACATGGATTCCAAAAAGAATATGGGACTGTCTACTGAAATTTTGCAGCTCTAAAGGTTCACATCTTGGTTGAATCTAGAATCTCTTGTTTCAGTTGTAAGGTTTGCATATTGTGGCTTGTGTTTTAAATCTTTGTAGTTTTTGTAAAGTTGATTTATTTGAGAAATGTACCGGGAAATTGTTAGCTTGTGCTAATTATGTTTACAATCAACAACCATAGCAATTTAGAATATTTTTTAAATTTTATATAAAAATTGCAGCTTATAAACTATTGTTCTTCAGTCATGAAAGAAATTATTGATTAATATATAATGTAATATTTAAAAATTATTGGTGATTATTGTACTTTTCATGCTCACTAACTTGAGACCTCAGAAAGCTCAAATCATGCATGTGGATCTTCTTTAAATTCAAACTCTTTTGAGGTTGAACTGATGGCAAGAAGAATTTTCCCAAATTAATAGGTAAATAAATCTAATGATATATGCAAACACCTGTATTCAATTTATGCCTTCAACATAGCTTGATGACACATTTTTTTACAATACCACTTTCTTTAAAGTATTTTTGACATCCAATCATGTAGGCTAAGGTAGTTTTGGCAGCAAATCCTCTATAATTATGATACATTTTGTGCCTATAGCAGCCAAGTAGCATCTTAAGCAATGCACCACACTTTGTTCTCAGTAGGTGAAGGCTTCACAATGGTAGGTACTATTTCAAATTTTCATTTACTAATCCTACTATTGTTGAAAAGAGAAGGGTAGCCCTGCCACATTGGCTCCTGCTGGCTCCCAGTAAATCTATCCAAAGCATCTATTCATCTTTTCACTTGATTCAAATGCCTAAAGTCATTCTCTTTCTCCTCAGCATAACATGTTCTTACCAAGTCTTTGCATGGAAACCCAACACAACATTGCGGGTAGATTCAGACAAAAAGATTTCTGGAGTTGCAGAAGCCAAGAGACTAATGAACACATCTTAGCCAATCTAATTTTCTTTCAAATAAATTTCCTAATTAAAGCTGTTTTAATCAAAGGAAGATATGTTAAAATGCTCATTTAACAAGAATCTTGCAGTTTTACTGGTTCAAGTTTTGATGGAATTTCTGTTTTATTTTTAATCTTCATCTTAGTAGATTTAAAATTAATTATAATTTATGGTTTAACATTTGTGCCTCATTCTGCAATGCATCATGATTTTAATTCACCACTAAAAGTAATTTCTTGAAGCTAAGTAATATTTCTACACAATTGGTATTATGCAAATATATGTACTCCTATAATCCTTAAATGTATTCACTGCATGGTTTACAACAGTTACCTACACTTCTGCAAATATCAACAGATAAAAAGGGTCCTGAGCAGGTTTATAATTTTAATTATGTATATTTGGTATAAAGAAATGTTACTATGCCTATATGGACCTTGTCTATTCAAATTGTCTACTATATATATGTTTCTATTTGTCTTTCAGGCTGCATAGCTACAGCATCCATTGATGTTCTCTGTCTTGGAAGTGCAGCATCTTACAAGAAGAGTTGACACCATGAATGCTTTTCGCCGTCTCTTCACCAATGGCCGTCGAAATGAAGTTGCACCTGCTCAATTATCCAGTGTATCAGATTTGGATGAAAATTTTGCTGGACCCACGGAAGTTTGTTGTGAAAAAACAGCCTTGATCAACCAGCAGGGGCAGCTGTGTTCTGTATTGAAAGTCCGTTATGTGGTCACCACCATTGATCATGTTCCATTTCTGGTACCCATTGAAAGCCAAGCTGTTAACAAATGGCAATTGAATCATTTCATTTGGGCTAACAACACCCTGACCTTACATACAAGTTTTCCAGATGGAACCTTGTTGAACTTTGATGCCGTGAGAGCCTCAGAATCCTCTGGCTATCAAATACTCTTTATGTGGATTGACTCAAAGCCTGAAGAAATTCCATTGCCTTTGAATGAGTCTGCATTGCTTTTGAGCTGTCAGCTCCCGGCATCATGCCAATTTCAACCCAGTTCTGAGTCCACATGTATAACTTTAAACAAAGAAACACATGTTCTATCTACTCCCACTCATTACTGGTCTTCTGGATCTTATCATCCACTCGACCAACTTGATTCTAAGGATTCTCTCAATATCGTTGTTATTGAAATCCTGGAAGAATGCGATGGGATTTTCAAACATTCCTTGTTGCCATTACTATCTACGGATGTTTCAGAACACATGAAAACTTTAAAATCGATGCAGATAATTAGAATTATTAATGGCTCTGTTCTGCCTTCAAAAGACCATCAATGTCTTGTCTTTGATGCACACGTGAAGCGCGATGGCTGTCGGTGGCTGTACAGTCACTGGGGCAAGGAGACCGTCTTGACTACGTGCTATGAGTTTTGCTCTGTTCTTTCACACACAGATCATGTGGCCCATGTGCTTCTTTGTCCAGGTGGTGGGAAGAGTTTTGCTTGCCTCATTGGTGGTCAACCGAAACTTGGAACGGCGGTAGAAGGAAAATTTCATCCAGCCTCTGAGAGCATGCCTAAGTACAGTATTGAATACACTCCAGATGTCAATGCTAATCGATCTAGCACTGGATTGAAAATTGATAGCAATGCCATTGAGTCCTCAACAATGCATGTAGCGCAAGTAGAAGTCAAAGCCTTGGTAACCACGAGTGTCGAAAATGAAGCTTCCGATTCTATGGACAAAACTGAGGCAAAAGTTGAAACAGTGGCTGCAAACTTGATTCCCGACAATTTTGGTGGAAAAGAACATGTAGACACGGACTCTCTTCAAGAGGAATGCAGAGATGACGATAAGAAACTAACTTCTGAAGTCATTGTTGCAAGTAACAGTTCTGGCGTTACAATTTGGAACACAGTAATAACTCGTACCAATGAGAGTCCCGTTGCTGAGAATTTGTTTGAAATGAATGACATATTAATAGAGCACTGTGAGAAATCTCAGGTTTCTCACAAAGCTGTTCTTGCTAATGATGAGGAAAGGCCTGTGACTGTAGTTGCTCTCGAGAATGTTGCTGCTCAAGTTGTGTCTGATGACGACGATTATCGCAGTATTGGGTACACGAGTGCCAGTGAAGAGAGTCAGGCCGATTATGTCGATGCATTTCTTGACCATGATATCCTGACAAATAAAAAAACAGAAAACGTCACGGCTGTGACACAAGAAGAAATTTCTTGCATTCCTGTCTCTGCTGACATAAAAAACTTGTTATTAACTGATGAGAGTTTGGTGAGTGTCTTAAAATCTGATGATATTGTCACAAACAATGAGGGCAACAATCGTCCAATGAGTGATGAAGACGATTCTTCTGAAGCTGCCGACGAAGAGATTTCGTTAACAATCGACAGCTTTGCTGTGACTGAAGAAATGGCAGCGTCTCCTTCATTGAATCCATCATCTGATGAGGAGACGAAGAAATTGGCAGCATCTCCCTCGTTGGATCTTTTGATATCTGATGAGACAAAGGAATTGACAGCATCTTCTTCATTTAACCGTTTATCATTTGATTCAGAGAATAAAGGATCCTCTTCTAGTAACCAGATAGTAGAGGCTCAAACAAGCTGCAAGGAAGAGGGCACTGAAAAGTGCTGTGCACCGCCGTCCACCCCTGGAATTGAAACGCCAATCAATGACACTCTTGGTCTTCACAAAGAACTTGAAAGTGACCACCTTTCAAGTGATCTTGAATCGATAAAAATTGAAATTGACCCAAGTGCAACCCATACTGAATTTTCTTCCTTATTAGACCTATTTCGTAGAATTGGTGACGTTATTCATTCAGATTCGGTTGTCAATTGTCTTGACGGAATTTACGAGGATTTAATGAAGCGCTGCACTCCTCCAATCTGTGTTGGGGCAAACTTTGCTTGTGACAGTGGAGATACAATTTACGTGGCTCCCAATTGCAGAGAATTTCGTGGATATGTTGTTGCAGACGATGTGTTCATGGTGGCCCATGGTACCCGGCATGCACTTGTGAAGTGTAAATTACAAAATTTGTATTTAGTGCTTCCAGTTGACCAGTTTCTCACTCTGCCGCTCATGGAAAGAATCAGCGTCCTCTACAGCGTTGCCAGCATCTCGCTTATTGCTGGTGTTAAAGTCGCGTATGGTTTGAAGGCATGGAATGTTGATAGCCCCCCAGTGCTGTTGCATCATTCTTGTGACATGCACAATCTCTGTATTGGTGTCAGCGATGGTTTAAGTTACCTCTCTACTTACTCATCTGTCAACCAAGGAGTTCCTTTGCCTGCATGCACGCGGGGCACAAACATTATACCGCCTCTCAACCAAAGTCTCCTCGCTCAGCTGAGTTTCTCGGTGGTTCCAGCTCGCATTGTTGCCTTCCAGTGGAAGCTCCTGCATGTTGTTGTCGAGTCATTCCGAGAATCTGAGCACTATTCTTGCCAGGCAGATGTGGTATTCTTCCAGAGAGTGAAGAGGAACATGCAGAGAATTTTAGAAGGTCAGTGGATCAACACTAACGTTTTCGCCGTACTGTTGGGCAACGAACTGATGTGCGTTTATGATGAACTGCCTCCTAATAGTTGCATTCATTACTGCTCTGAACATCGACCTACCGTGTTGCATAGCTCTGAAGTTGTAAATATTAATGAAAATCTAACTGATGTGCCAGAGAATCGCGTCTCTGAAGCTTTGTCACCTTCACCCGAAGTTGCAGATGACGAATCTGATCTTAGTGAGTTCAGTGCTGATTCTACTGATATCAAAGAGGATGTTCAAGATAGCTCAGAGATACCCTTCTGTTCTTCTACATCTTCAAATTCGGAAGCTGACGACGCTGATGGGTATACAGAGGAAAAAAAATTGCAAACGGAGAATTCTGATCTTACTTGTGGCAGCGAGGTGGATAATATAAATTTGGGCCAATCGCAGAACGTCGTGACGAACTCGCATCAAAAAGTTCATCTAAACCAAGGAGGAGAAACCAAACAGACGATCAAAATCTCTGTTTCGCCTTCGCAATCTACTGAATCTTATAACGTGGAAAATGCAGAAAGCGTTCTTCAGATAGAAAATTCAGAAGGCAAGTCCGCTGAAACTCCTGTGGGACGTGCGTCGCTACGATACGTAGCGTCGGTGCTTTGCGACGATGACTCTGTAATTACAGTGAAGAGTTCAGTTTTGTTGAGTGGCCTCACCGGAGACAACCTGGACAAAAATTCTAAGGTTCAACATCAACGTTCGAACCTTTCAGTGTGCCGCCCACCTGATTGTGCAGAAGCCAACTTGTCTCTGACTAAACGTGCCGATAAAGTGAACGTTGCAGGCGCTGGTAATAGTCCTAACTCATGCATTTCTCCTCTCTCTGCAGCACATAGTGATGATGTCCGACTTCAAACCGCCCTCATTTCAACCCCCAAAGCAAAGAAAAAGGGCGCGAAGAATAGCCTTGAGCATTTTGTTTGTCCACTGCAGTCTGAAAACTTGAGGTGCAATTGCGCGTTTCTCAAAGCGGCCTCCTGCAAAATAATTCTTCCGCTCATGAATCTTTACGACGCTGATTGCGTACTGAATGAACTTCTGTCTTTACCACAAAATAAATTTCCCCTGAACACGATTTGCGTTCAGCTAGAAAAACCACTTTTTCTGAATGCTCGCCTCATTACGCATGTCGCTGTGCTGGCATATAGAGGAAACAGGCCTTCGTGTGCAACCGCAGTGACAAGCCAGTGGTGCGACAGAGAGTTCCTTCTGCATCGAGAGCTTTTTGAAATGCTTGCATTATATGCTTGTGATGATCGCCAAGAGCTCATAGTTCGGGGGAAAATTGTGATGCTAGTGCAAGGCTCCGGTGTACTGCGGTTCACCATTGTTCCTAATGGTTCTGTTCACTACGCTTCGTTCACCTCCGGTTCTGTGCGGTACGCCACCGAGTGTATGAATGGGAGTTCATTCGTGTCACTAAAAGACTGCTTCATGGAAACCTGCCTCGCCTCCATCAAATTGGACAAATCTAAGCCGCCGGGCTCCGAGTTCAGATTTTTGAGCTCTAAAATTATGATTGGTTCTGTTGAGCAGCTTGAGGCTAAAGTCAGTGACATTTCTGATATGATCTCATTAAAACATGTGCTACCGCAGCAAGTAAGAAAAGAAGAACCTCCCGATTGTGCTCATGAAATCTCGAATATCGTTTGGAAAAAAGAAATTGATCAACTGGTTGGCAAGACTATTGAGATGTCGTCCCCTGCTTCTATTCCATCCGATTCTGCTCGTCAGTTCAACAGTGTATTCAAAAATAATGGATTCCTTAGGCTAGTTGATGTGGCTGCTGAGTATGCAATCCTTGCCTGTGAAGATAACTCTTTAGTGATCATGCCTCACTCTAACTTTCTTGATGCCCTCACGTATAGCGCTGAGAAGTGCTATGAAATGCTGAACGACTGCAAAGGTGGGATTCTCTGTGGTAGTTTATTGTCCATAAGGAATCCTCTCAAAGTTGGCAAGTACTCCGTCTCTCATTTTGCTTTGGTTGTGTACGGCGACACTTCCCATCATGCGGATATTCGTAAAGCTTTCGAGACAAAGAGGCGCCCAGTAGCGACTGTGGAGGCGAAAGATGTGGAAGAATTGCTCAAAAATCTACGCGTGCCTGTGAGTGAACGGCAAAATATACTGGTCAAGGCTACTGTTCTTGACGCAACGGACTGCGACGGCATTATGAGTTTCATGGATTATCAGTGTCGTGTTCAGTACGCAGGCGTCTCCCTGAGAAATCTCTCCCACAACGCAGATGAAGAATCCACCGACAATGAGCTTGGTTTGCAATCTCTGCGTGCTCTTTTCGGAAAAACTTTAGACGCGATTGTCGTTTACAGGAGCTGGTTGCTGATAAAAAGCTACGACACGCGTGAACTACTCGTCCGCACATCAAAGTCTACTGGTTCGGAACGCGTTCTGCATGCTCCTAATCAGGCTCAAAGATGTACAGAAGGACACTACGAGAAAGCAACCGCCGAGCCAGGTGTATCATCGAAAATTCCTGAAGCCGAAGTAGATGAGAGGATTGTTTCAAAGGGCATAAGTTCTACTTCGACTGTCTCTATTGCCGCCTTTCCTACCCAAAATCACTCGGAAAATAATAATAGTCCTGAAACAAATAACTTGCTTTCCAGCGAGTCTGCAGCTTCTAATGAAGTAAATACGGAGCAGGAAAGTGTTTCCGACATTCAACCTGCCCGCTCGGTCTACAAAAATACAGATCAAAATAAACCTCTAGAGGTACTAAATTTAACCGCAAATAATAATCTCGACATTCAAGAAACTTGTAGAAATGCAAAGGCTACAGTCCCAAAATTCTCGGCTCAGAAGCCCACTGTTGCTCCCGAGTCACAAGCAGTTGCAACAAATGCCTGTTCTGTACTGGCAAAAAATAAAAATGTTACTAAATCTGCCTTGTCTACCAATGCGTCAAGTAAAAGCTGTTCAGTAGATCCCCGTGAAGTGGTAAAGATGATATTCATCTCCTCAGTTGACAGTGCTCTGAAGAACTTGGAAGAACTCAATGTGGACGAATGCTTGCATGGGCATAAGCCAAATCCTACAAAATTGAAGCACTATGTCGCCAGAATAGGAGAATTTTTTGATGACGCTGTGCTCTTTGTAACCAAAGTTCGAAACATAATACTGCCCTACAATAAGTATTATTCTAAAAGACCTCTAGAACACGCGTTGCAAACTAGCTGCTTATCTCTGATGTGTATCAATCTGCCGCAAATGTTACGCATTGGCCACATCGAAACCAACTCTTTCGCATTCTTTGCCCATTTCGATAAGAAACCCCCTTGTGTCAAAGTTCTGGAACAGTTCTTGAGCATGGAGACAAATGAAAATCTTCAGAAGCTGGCCATCGAAGCTTGCCTCAGAATTTCTTTGGTCAATTCTGTCCCGAACAAAAAGTTACCTAAAAAGGCACTACCCGCGTCATCGCAGAGCTCTGTTCAGACACCGACGCCAGGCAAGCCAAGAGTTCTTTCGCCACTGCCCGATTCGAACATATCCGGTCGGCCTCCTTCGAAACCAAAAGTAAAGAACTCAGATTCTAAAAGTCAAACCAATTCAGCTTTGGTTCATGTTAAATCGTTGAATCAAAATTCGAACGTTAATGGAACAAGAAATAAAAAGCCTTCTAGTACTTCGCAAAGCTCTTCTCCTCAGCACAAAGGTTACGCTTCTACTGGAGCATCGATGCCGAACGTCTTCGATCAATGGCTTCCTGCGAGCGCCAAAGTTAGAAAATCTTCAAGCACTAATTCCCTTTCAAAAGCATCTTCCTTGAACGTTACTCAACATTCTGTCTCAGCTGTAACCTCTCCCTCCAAACATAAAACTGGTAACAATGGTGATCCTCAACTCAAGCGTACACCCGTTGCTGCTGATCTTCACTCAAGAAGCAACGCCTCTACTCCGAAACACAAGCCAAATGCAGGTACTAATTCACCGGCTAAAAGCAAATCCATCTTTCCCGCCAAATCCCGCACCGCTGCTGTATTCCTCAAAACTCCTTGCGCAGGAGCCTCGGAAACAACCATCTATGATAAATCCACCACAGCCCTTGCCGTTTCAGCGACCAAAACCAACTCTGATGTTTTTAAACATTTTAGTCCTCCGATGAATATGAAACATTCCACACCTGCTGCTGTTCCGTCCTCATCCGCCTCGACTGAGTCTCTGTCGCTGCTCGCGTCTCTTGGCACTCAACAATATAGTGCGGCCTTCAGTGTAAGTCGCGCATAAACCATCTTGAAAAATATTCACTCTTATGTTGATATTAATGGTAGAAGGAAATAGAATTTTCATTTGTACCGGCAAAAGAAGAAAAATGACTGTCGATATTTGAATTTATTCTTTGCTTATAATTTTTACCTGTGCAATGCAAATTACTCATTTTTTTCTTTGCAGGCATCAAAAACTCTCTATAGCGGTGTATTGAAAGACGTGTTCTCTGGCTTTGGTCGAATTGAAACGAACGAAAAAGCTTTATTGATGTTCAAACCTAAGCAGTGCTATCTCTACGGAGTGTCTTTGGATGGTCTTGAGCTCTGGCACGTATTGATTCAAGGTAAGTTATTAGCGAAAACTTATAATATTTATTTCGTTATCCGTTAGTGCACTGATATTGATTGTCATTTTTGCAATGTCTAATCTCATCTCGTACTTATTACGTTAAGACTTAGATAATTATATAATTGCGCGGACGAACGCTTAATAATACATACGTATTAGATAAACGCCTCGAATGAAATTGTAAATCGCTGAAAATTTAAACTATGAAATGCTGACTCACATCGATCACTGGAATTATAATATCGTCCTACTTTTGTGCACAGCTGTACCAGAAAAAATAGGCTACGATACACACTAACGAAGGGAATCAAAACTTTTTTTTAATGACCATTGACTTTGGATTGACGTGATGCCCATCTTCGTCCAACCTTATCTTAATTTGCTATTTTTTTTACTTTACTTCAAATATACCTAGCGAGAGATTTCGAACCTGAGTTACCGGTTTCGTACATGTTACCAGGTATTTTTAGGTTTTGTATTTGTGTCCAGGTCTCAAATTTGTCTTCTATGGTTTCGAATGTGTTTTTCCATGTTTCTTGTTTTCTCATGTGTCGTATGTGTCTTCAGGTTTGGGTTTTTGTGTTCCAGCTTTCATATTTGTGCTCCAGTTTTAATATTAGCGTCCCAGCATCCATATTTGTGTACAATTTTTCAGGTTTGTCGGTGCGTTACTCGCTGCGTGCGAGCGATGACATGGGCTCGTCCCTGACTGTGTCGCGGGTGTACGTCGGGGAAGCAGACGTGAGCAACACGCCGCTGCTGATCTTGCAGCAGCGCATCTGCGACTGGTGCGAGCAGAACTGCGTCAGCGCCTCCGACACCAGGCTGCTTGTGGGTTGCCTTCTCTACTACGTTATCAATATGGCGGATTATATATACATAACTACGTCTTAGGCACCATTTTGTTTTGTTGGCTGCTAATTTATAATTCCTGCCTTTTTACTCTTGATTGTTTTCAATTTAATATTGCATTCGGGAGTTAGAATTACTTCACTCGCTCCTTACCAGCAAATAACGCTTATCCCATTCGCTCATTAAGAACTACTAACATTGTATCCTACCCTTGCAGATTTCCCGCACAACGCAGTTGAAGCAAGACGAAGCTGCCGAGTAATTGTTCCTGACAACACAAGTTGGTGCAGCGAGGCGTGTTGCCGCTAAGTATTATCGTTTGAGCAGACAAATGCGTCTCTGTGAAGCCACCCTTATTGGACAATTGCGTGGTGCAAGCTCTCGCTGCGAATGTTTTGTAAAATCGTACTGAACGTAAGAACTCTGCCCCGCGTTGCCTTGCTATTATACGCACCTATTTTTTGCGACTATCTCGGCACATTTTTTCGAAGTTATCTCAAGTATTTTCTGTCAATTCCATAACATGGAATTGGAACTGGAACTGGACTGGAGATTAGTACAAGTTGTTTCCTCAGTGTCGTTTCCTCTGAGGTTGTAGGCTAAGTTTACGCTCATGAAATGTAGCGTGTATGATATATACACCCCCAAATGCCTCATTATAATACACTCGGTTATACTGCGCCCATCACCTGCAGTTTTAGGCTTTTCAACGTGATGTCGTCCGATGTCACAGAAAATGCCTCAACAAACTGCGCAGTCTGCCAGTAAAGTCCTGCCTAATTAAGTGATAGATATTAAGTCTTACAAAAATGTGATTTTATGGCTGTTTATATTCTAATGGTAGAGAAACAATTTGTGAAGCGTGTTTGTAAACGAATGACGATCTGTCCAATTGATCATCGCTGTTATGAGTTTTGATTTTCCGGCGATTAGAGCATTTTTAGCCACAATGCCTGATACTCCAGAACAAGATTTCCCATTAATTGCACCTATGATCTTCTCAACATTCTAAAGTCTAAGCCCAAGCTCTAGTAGTATTGGTGATGATGCGTGTATCAGTTCCTTGCCTCACTAGTGGCTTAACTGTCAACCGACTCTTCGTGGCTGTTTTGTATATATATGAATAATCCGTGATTTTATTCATCACAAGGTTTGGACTTAGTGGAAATATATTAATTTTAAAACTTGGATTTGCTGATAACTACGCTTTATTTGGTACAAGACCCATTTTTATTTGCTTTGAATTAAGCTTTATTTGATACTTGACCTGCTTTTTTCTGTAAGCAACGCTTTTTTTGTATACGTTCTATTTTTAAAGACTGAAATTGTTTCGATATTGTGGGTAGGCGCAAGTTTATTGGAAACTTTGTACTTAACTTTCAATAAAGGAACACTAACTGCTTGTTTGATCAAGTATTTATTCTGATGATTAATTTTCATTTTTTTTTCATGTATTCTCGCCTTTAATCAAATCTCTTGCTTGAAGTATTAGTTAAGAAATGTATTCTTTCTGATTATTGTTCATTGAATGATCACATTAGTTAGAAGTTGGATCATATTCCACCAGTTTTTATTAGTAGAGAAGTTGGTGCATTGAGCAGTAGTGCTGAGGCAGTGCGCTGACAGTTGAACACTACTTGATTTGCCTCATGGTATGTACATCATCTGCTTGTATTGTCACCTTATTACACTGACTGTACTACAGTCTACATGTATCCGTGATTTACACCATGTATTATTATCACTTAGTTTGAAGAACTTAAATGAAACAATGATTCTCGTTATATTTTTATTATTAACCTGGTGTTCATTTTATGCACTCGATAAGTGACTTCTTCTCGTTTCGGTGGTTGTTGCCAGGATAGCTCCGTTAATCAAACGTCGTTTTAGAAGTAACTTGAGAGCCACTGTCGAGAGGACGGTGGTAGGTAAGTAGATAGCACAATCTTTGCTCTCAATGCTCTCTTTCACTTCATTATGACTGACTGGTATGCTCCCTGGTGCTCCCAGACGTAAACTGAGCGCTCGGCGTGTCACATGAAGAAAGTACTCGACAGTTCTTTGCGAACGCGTTGTTTACGTAACAAAGGTAAGCTTTATGTGAACTAAAACATACTTTTTTGAGGCAATAATCTGACAACTGTCACGATTGAATGATGCTTACAGTTTAGAGCATCAGGATTGGAGCAGAGAAGTGCGAGTTCGACCCCAACTACCTGCGATTGTTTTGGTCAACAGGCGAGGAGGCTAAATTGGAGAAGCGAGATGCGTGTTCAAGCAGTGTGAGTGGTTACAGTTCAGAGTATCAAGATTGGCACAGAGAGGCGCGGGTTCGATCCCAGCTCTGTGCGCCAGTTTCTGGTCAGAATCGGCAAAGAGGCCGGACGGTTAAGAACAGCAGAATTGTAGCAGTGAGTTGCGAGTTCGAAACCGCAAAATGCTGAGAATGTTCTGCGATGTTAGGAATCGCCGAATCGGTGACAGGCCTACGGCCTAATAAACGCTGAAACCGCTATTATTATTATAAGACCACAACAAGCTGTGAATGTTCTGCGATGTTAAGAATAGGTGACAGGCCTACGGCATAATAAACGCTAAAACCGCTATATTACTATTACATTATCCTTGTGACATAAAATTGTCTGATGTTCGACTGGAGCATTCCAAACAGTCGAACATCACACGACTCTCAGACTCTGAACCTAACAATATTGTAAACCGTATTTTAAGTTTATGCAGTGATAAAATTTGCATACCCATATGAAAATTTTTCTGAAGTGAAAATGAACTATAGACAACTTCGTATTCATTTTGCTCATGGGAAAAAGCTTCTTTAGGTGTACAATTTTGCTAGTATTTTGTTCTTCTCCCACTATCATCACTCTGAAAATATATGTCTATATGTACATGATCACAATTAATGTAAGATGTTTACACGTTCGAAAGTCCTTATTGGTCACAAAAGAAAATTCATAGATACCTAAAAATTGTATAAAATTTTATGCAATCCCATTTATACAGGACTAACCACTCTGTTTTATGATCCTAGATTCTACACCAGAACAGTTTACGTTAGAGTCCTTGCGTCCTTTGCATGCCGCTTGAATCCCCACACGTTTGACAAGTGACAACCAAGTATCAGAGCCAAATCAGCCACTGGCATTGGCTCCCTCTGGCCTCTTGTATTGTTTTATTATTACCGGGACACTAGTTGTTAAGTCCGAAATACACGTCTTTATTCCAAAACAATTTTTACCTCTGTCCCATTATTTTTTCCTGGTAATTTCTCGTCTTGTCCCGGTTGTCCTCGATGTCCTGGTTCATTTTGATAAAATTTTTCTGAGACGCAGTGAGACGCAGGATCTAGTGTCACAGTCACGGAGTCAGTGTCACTCACTCTTACCGTCACCTAACTTCTGACCTAAGCAGAGCTGTGCAGGCAAGTGCAGCGCTACTTTGAAATGTAGCGGCGCTACCGCTACATGCTCTAAATGTAATGGGCGCTAGTCCCAAATCCAAATCCAGTCGCGCTACCGCTACTCCCACTAGATTGTAGCAAGCGCTACCGGCCTACCGCAGTCATAGTGCCATGATAGTGGTAAAGCAGAAAGTTTTTTAGACTCTCTTTCAAGTTCACTTTTGAGTTCTATATGTAGACCAGTAAAGTATCCTCGATACCTGCATTATCATACATAAGAAATTGGTATAAATCTTGAGTTATTGAGGAAATTAAAAATGAACTGGTTCCAAAAAAGCTCTGGTTTTGGTTTGCCACTATGCAGTACCGCTACTGTAAAATGTAGCGCCGCTACATTAACCGCTACCATGGTGGCAATCCATAGGTTATTCAAAAGAACCTGTTCTTATGTCATTTTGAACCGATCAACGCTTCTTTACGGACCGATCGTAAAACACCTTCACCGGCAAAAGCTTTTGCACTTCTGAAGAAAGTCAGCTGACAGCTACACTGGCCGTGGGGCGTGGTGGACCTATGGTCAGGAAGATGTGCCAGGTGCGCGGGAATTTATATTGTCATTTTAACGGCCTGTGCTGTGCACCGTATTATGCCGGTAAAATAATGCGCCGTGCACCGTACTTTTAGAAAGCTAAAATAGTTTGAATATGGAGGTGCGGCAACACAAATAACGTAATCACACTGACCGTACACACAAACATGTATCCGCATTGTGTTGTGGTTGGATATGAGTTGCCTAGATTGCTAACGCGTCAACTCAGGACTGCCAACTAAGAGTCAGCGCAGTAATGAATATTCATTTATTGATCACAATTCAATCGGACATGAATTACAGAACTAAAGAAGGCAAAATTGCTTTAGACGTGCCATCGGTGCCTTCTAATGAATGACTGGACTGGTTGTGGCAAGTAGGGTATGAACCTGTACGTGCCTGTACGTACGAACAGTACGAACCTGCATGACAATGGTGGGACTACATTACCGACATTCTCCCGGCCGGCAAAATCGACACGATCAATACCTAATAACAATGCGCGTAAATGGACTATACAAATTCTGTCTCTTATACACATCTAGATGTGTATAAGAGACAGACGTAGTACGGCGCACCGAGCAGGTCGTTAAAATGACAAAATAAATTCCCGCACACCTGGCACGTCTTCCTGACCATGGGTTATTCACTATTTGGTAGAGCAAGGTCAACTGTCAAATTTGACACATTTTTCGATGATCTCACTTTGTAGCGTGCATTGTCTCTCTTTGGATCTCAATATTTTCCTGCTAGATGGCCAAGACCTAGTGTTTGGCAGCAGGGGAGGAAAATATCTACTCTTTGAGCCGCGACTGGATTTTTTGAGCCGCAAAATAATGAATTTTCAAGCCGTAAGCCTATTTCTCAAGCCGTGGAAACCCATTCTTGAACTGCGAAGTTGCAAACTCTTGGCGGCGATGGCACGCGCGCAGCGCGCGATCACGATTCACAAATAAGCTCAAATTTTGCTCTAGAAACAGCAGTTAAACATTATTCCCTAATTCACATGTAGTTTAGCTCATGCTAATGCCTACCTTACGATATTGCAAAAATATAACACGGTTTTACAAGAGTCTGAGAGGCGAGTTCAAGATCTTCATCTTTGACATAATGCTCTTGCTGCTGTCACAGTTTAACATATACGAGTATGATGACGTAGTACTAAACCACGGAGGCGCGGACTTAAATATTTGATAATGATAAATTTTATGATAAAGAAAAAAAAAGAGTTGAACATACAAAGTTCGGGAAGCACTTGTTAAGATGTTTTGACCAACCAGTAAACAAAAACGGTTCACCTGCAATGAAATATAAGCTCAAACAGAATAACTTGAGAAGGCCACTACCTTATAGCTATGACTAATATAATTGAAGAAACTAAAAATCATTAACATGATGAGACTCTTTTATGAGCAATTTAAGACATGTGTTATGTGATTCTAGGCAAAAATCCATTTGCGATGTTAAACATCTTATACAAATTTCCGTTTTTTTCAATGGAAGGTAAATGTGAGTTAATTTGCATTTAGAAAATATTTAGACCAACAACAGCTCGTTTCATAGGCTCAAAATTTTACAAATGCTTAGGCCATACATTCAAAAATACACACGAATGCTTAGGCCACACATACATTCAAAATGCACATCATTTATTTTTAATTCAAATGGAAACGAGCATGATGAAAGACCTATTTGTTTGTCACACTTCAAGGAATAAATGAGAAAATAAACTACCTATAATGCTAAATTCATGTTAAAAATGGTTCTCTCTTAACCTGGGACTCCTTTTTATCCACGTAGAGAAATTGAAAAAAAACATTTCATCAGAAGAGCTTGAAAGGGAAAGCCGTTTGAAAGGGGAAAGAGAAACGCCGTTCGAGAGGGTCGCTTGTTGGAGACCAACACTGCCCTGCTTCGATAATACCACCTTGGTTCCTTCCTCCAATACTGNCTGATGAATGACAATTCAACACCAAGTTATGATATCTTTGGTAGATAAACAAATTTTGATAAGTGAATAATTTTTGAAAGTTCAAAACATAATCTTGTCATATATACTATCGATTGATTGAATTTGTTTAAAATGCTGGATGCCGTTTGGTATGGAAAATCCTTATGCCATAATGCATGGAGAGTGATCACTGATCAAATATCTGAACTTTCTTGGAACTATAGTCAAAAGATCAATAAAATTATTTCAATCATTTAAAATTAGTTCATTTGGTCACCTGATTGCGAGAAGACAAGTGTGGACTTACCGTTTAAGAGCAGGCCTCAAAGTCATTGGCCAAGTAGCAAGTAATACTGCCGCTTGTCTCCCCAGACACGCACATTCACTCGGAAACCTGAAATAAAAGGCCGGTATGAGGCAATGCATTCCACAAGATACTAGAAAGCTAACATGAATTTATCAGGAAAGAAAATCCTAGCATTCCAAGAATGGGATTTTCCCCAAACCAGTTAATGTCAGCGCTCTTAAATTAAGCGCCCCTTAGGATCGGGACACCTGACTAAGGCGTGAGGGATAAGTAAGACATAATCTGTCTAGAGAAAAGTATCTGATACGGGGTGGTAATACATAAGAGTTACGATACAGAGGTATAAGCTACGGTGTCGACCGTTAGGTCAGATCACTCAACGGAGAGCTACATTGCGGGGGGCATACTAAGGTTCAAATAGGAGGTTACTTACTACAGGTAATTACTACTACGGGGGGCTTACTGAGGTTCCCAACCCAGTTATAGACATCGTACCTCCGTTCACCGAGTTCTTGTCCTCGTGACACATTACTCAGCATCTGAGGCAAGCTGTCAGCGACACGGTGTACTCGTAGCTAACTTTGTAAACACATGATGATTTGCTTCCACAAACTACGCACGGACATTAATAATAAAAATTTAAAGTAGCTTATAAAAATTAAAAAAAAGTCCCGTTCCATTCCACAGTAAACCTCACTAAGGCTCACTTAGTATGGGATTCTCATTTCACTCCAAAATTAAAATTAGAATGACACTTATAAGCTCTTCATATTTTTGAAAAAACATACAAAATATACCCAACACTGCAAGTATTTTAAAACATTTTTATTAACTCAGCTTTGCGTTTGTTTGTTGTTAACATTGACAACGAAAATTAGCCCACTTCTGATTGCTCTAGAGATCTGAAATTCGGCATGAAGGCTATTTTTGCCTAACAATTTCAGATACAATCATAAAAACTAGCAATTAGAGACCTAAATTAGCTTGATTGAGTGAAGTATATATATATATACGGTATATAAACTTGTTGCCTTTAGTGTGTATTAGGTTCCAATAAATTGAATGTTTTTGGTACAGAGGCATCAAGTGTGCAATACATTGTACGTAGGTAGCAGCTTAGCTAATTCTTATAAGGCTATAAGTAGTCTTTAACTATTTGACTATTTGTTATATATTGATTACAATATTCAATTTAAATGTGTTAGCTAGCTTATACAGGGTGGGGCAGAACTGATTGAACAGTTTTGGGGCAAAATAAAAGAGTAATGGAGGTACATAAAGAAGAAAGTTTATTTTCCTTGAGATTAGCATAACATACCATTTAAAATACTAGAAACAAAACAATTACAATTATAAGACTATATATAAAATAATTAAATGCAGTGAATGGATATAAAATATTTGAATTGTGCACATGTTTATTTCATACAGTATTAGATTTTCTCATAACTTGAGTCTTGTTTCAAGTCGTATGAGGTTTGTTTGGTTATCGTTCAGTTTACGTTTAGCATTGGTTTATTGGTCTTAATTAAATGGGAACAGTGCAGTCAGTCACTCAGTCACTACTAGTTGGTGTGTATAGAGGGTAGAGTCTGGTTGATTTATAGGACATAAAACTAGTAGATCTATTGATAGTGCTGTGCACTGTGCTATCAGCTACCTATCTGTTATGTGACTCTTCAATTTCAATAATTGTTTACCCAAAAATCTCTAAGTGGTAAACACCACCTTGGCCTGTTGGCCATTATTAAGGGCAATAAGTGCCCTTTTTAGCCATTCATTATAATCCATATAGGTACTGTTATTGTTAGTAGGCTACTTGCAACATAAAAAAAAAACCCTTCAAAAAGACAAAAAAGCTGAAAAAATGAAAAAAAAAATCAAATAAATAAAAAAAAATCATGAAAAAATAAAAATAATCTAGATTTTTTATTTTTTTTTAAATCATAAAAATCACCAACCCTGGTGTCTGGCATGTTGATCTGGACTGTTCCAATGCGTTCACTTTAGACTCAGAATCCACAGGCTAATATTTTCTCTATATTATAGCTTTGAAATAGACTGAACGAATTTGTTCACTACGGCCTATAAGGGTTAATTAACTTTGAAAAAATCAGAGTTATTTTGAGCGATGTTATAAATGATCTTAGTTTATTCTATCATATGGGGCATTATATAAATATAGGGTGATATATTCAATGAAAAATGTGAAACATGCAGAATTTTTGCACATGTAATGGCTGGTTTTGCTGTGAGGCAACAAAAAATCTGCATTTGTTATCTATAACTAATCTGGTTACCTAAAATTGTGTTCTCCATTTCAGATGTGATGATGTTTTAAGCCAAAGGAAGTAAATTCTTAGTAAATTGTAAAATTGTATGAAAATTAGTGTCCTTTGAGCAGTGAATTTCAACAATATTTGAATGAAGTTTTAAATATTAGTAGATAATGAATAATTTATTTGGCAAGTCTCATTTTGTATCTAATGGCATTCAAGGAAACATTGTTATTGCTGTTGAGACTGATCAGCGTTGCCCTAAAGATGTCATTATCACAAGCAGTAACAGCATTAAGGTTTATGAGGTGAGTTCTTTCTTTAGTTGAAATGACAAATATGTGAGCAGATTCTAGCATCAAGCTAATGCATGGCTTGGACCTAGCAGCCTTGCAAATATGACTTTTATATTTATGTATAAATAAGTCATTTCAATAAATGCCTAATACCTTGTATAGACTAGAGTTTTTTTAAGCTGTTGCCTTCATTCAGTCCATCACTTATTTTGTCCTTGGCTATGCATAATAATGGCCATGCAATAATAATGGCAATTGCATCACTTTTGTCCTTGGCTATGCTATAATAATGGCAACCTCAGCCTCCATTTGGTGCATTTCACAAACTGCAGATAAATTATTTCAGTCATTTAAACTGTTGCCACATGCCTAAGAAGGTCCTAGGATAGTTCAGTAGAATAATTTATTTTATGTTATTTTCTGCATTTGTCAGTTATCTGTACTGGATTATAGAAATTGTTGCATTTAGAAGTTGAGTAGGTACATTTCAGCTCTTAGAAGTAGAGATAAGCTTATTTTAATTTTCAAAATAGATAGATTATACACTTGAGACATTTAATTTTGTTTTTGACAATTGAATGGTAAATTTCTTGTTAACCGCTTATGATCTCTCATAAATGACTTATTCCTCAGATAAATGGCCGCACCATCTCAGAGAGTTGGGTGCTTAAGAGTTGGCTGACACCTCTCAGTGGCTGCCTCACTTCTGCTACTGGAGATTTTTTCTGTCCTGTAGCTCATAACGCTCTTATTAAATGGACAAGTGATGTGAAAAGCCTTGAAAGTTTGACCCCTTTAAAGGTAGGTGCCATGATTTGTGACTCAGGTAATGTGAATATTATTATTGGTTCCTGGGCCATGTTTGTGGTAGTACTTACTGTATTTCAACTCTAATCTGTGCAACATGTATAAATGTGAAAAAGAAGCTTTATTCTCTGTAGCGCATGCCGACTTAAAACTGTACATTGCAAGTGCTTCTTATATGTTCATATTTGTAGTTTTAGTTAATCATTTAGTTAATAATACAGAATTTATGAAAAATATGAGATGGAAAAAAAATCTCAACTATTTCCGCCACACTGAATGTTTGAGCTATTGACTTGAGAGTTGGTTTTACTGTGATTTAGTGATTTAAAGAATTTTATTTCTATTGCAGTTTGGGAACGACATCAACTCCCTGTGTGCAGTTGGAGGTGCTGTCCACATAGTGTTTGCTGGAGGGTGTGTGGTGGAAGTGTCGGAGGCCTTGTATCACAAGAAATCTAGAAGACCAAACTTAGTGCCTCTCTCACTGACCATCAAGGAAGTGAAAGTTTTCCATGGCTTCGTGACTGTTGTTGCTGCTCCTAAGGCAAGTTCAACCTCTGTTTATTTGGAATTATGTTTTGTTTCTGTGTTTCATCTATTCTTCGAGGAGCAATAGAATTCAATTGACTCAGTCCTTCCTGCAGTTTCATCAATACAAATTTGTTCACCAGGAGGTATTTGTTCCTTTTTTCAGATAATATTTGCAAGATTGCTGACAGTTTTGTTAATGGGTTGTTTTTAGTGCATTTTCTCATTTATGGAAAAAATGCACTATTGTGCTCGCCATGTCCGTCTGTCTGTCCGTCCGTCTGTCCGTGACCTCAAGTTTTCGTCGACGAGAAAATGCGCTCTCTGTCACTCACTGCAGTGAGTACTGAATTATATTTTTTTTACTAATTTTTGCAATTTTGAGACTGCCTTAACAATTCTTGCATTCATCGTCTAGCAGGCCAGAGCTTGCTACTCTCCTCCATCGTTTCTTTGCTCAGTCTTGCAGTCTCTCTGACCGATCTGGTATTGTAGTCACTCTGACCGATCAGGTCTTGCAGTCTCTCTGACCGAAACGATCTTGTAGTCTCTCTGACCGATCAGGTCTTGTAGTCTCTTTGACCGAAACGATCTTGGAGTCTCTCTGACCGATCAGGTCTTGTAGTCACTCTGACCGATCNGAACATTTATTAATATGTAAAAAAATTTGAATCTTTCTCTTTCCATTGGTGTGTAAAGTATTCATTTTGAATTTAGACCTAAATAGATAAGAAACCGTTAAATTGGGTCCTTCACTCAGAATAACCATCTATGCTACTTCATTTCTTTCCGCTACTTGCTTGAATTATTAATAACTAACTGGATTAACACTAAAACATTTTATGGCTATATCAATTTTCGATTTGAGTTACCGCGAGCCATCTTAGTGGGGGAATGCCATAGCCGCCAGCCCAGCGATGTGTACGCACCAATGCTATACACTATTTCCTCCTTGTTTGTTTTAAAGCTCATTGCAAGAAAAACCAATATCGTGAACAGGATGTTTGTGATGTCATTTGCACACCGTTGTGAAACATTTTTTTCTTTCTTGTGGATCTCTATGCCAGCTCTTTATTTGATCGCAGACAACGCTGTTTTTTTTTCAGGACGGGCGCGATTGCAGCAGCATTTTCCATTACCGCGTTGGCTGCACTGATGCCAGCCAGGTGACAGAGTTCAGCCTCAGTCGCCCCGCCCTCACCCTCGCCGGCGTGGGGCTCCTCACCTACTGCAGCGCCATCACTCTCTGTCAGTGGCGCGCATTACGTCCTATCACTAATTTGTCCTGAAGAAATTACTACTGTTTAACTTTCAAATAATAATCAATTAACGAGGCGAACTTGTACTTACAACATTAGCTACATTTCTATGGATGATTTTATGAAATTATTTTGGTGTAGAGAAAAGCGATTGAAATTTGCAGATCTTGCCACATTGAGAAAAATGAGTTCGTTTGTGCAACAGTTTCGTTTAATATCTTTGCTTCTCTTCATGTTCAGAGTTTTTTTTTGCAGCACTAGAATTATTTTATTGCAATACTTAAATAGTGATTTGTGAATGCAGCTAAGTCTCAATAAATACAATCTTTTGAGGTAAAATTTATTTTGAATATGCATTATTATTTTAATATAAAAAATTCTCATTGGTGGATAAATATCGTACGTGATCGTCTTGCAAGAAGGCAGAGAAAATAATGTGTTAGTGAGAAGCATTGACTGGTGTGTAACTTCTAGGGAGCAACGGCGAGTTGTGCAGCAGCGCCGTGCACAGCGGCGGCGGCGGCGGTCGTGCGACGCTGCGCCTGCGAGTGCTCGGCAACTGCGGTGCCAGCATCGACTGCTCGCGTCCCGCACGCATCCTGCGGCTCTACGACACACACGTCGCCGTGCTGGGACTGGACATCTCTAAGGACGGTGAGGAGTAAACCAAGAAACCTTGAAAGTTTTCTTAGTGAATTTGATATGTCAAAGCAAATATGCAGATACTCCTGACAGCTTGTCATGTTTTAATCGGATGGCAGCAACGTTACTACATATTTCTAATTTACTTGCTTTTTGACGTCTTCTCGACTGAGGGAATATAAAACTCGTATTTGAGACTCCAAGATTAGTTATTTCACACTTAATGTTTCTTAGTTAAGTTGAAAGACTACACGATTATTTAAGACTCCATATTTCTTAGTTGGAATAAAACTCCAAAACTAGTAAGTATTTGTCAGGTGCTTACTCCTCCATGCATGCCCCTGCAATTAGTCACTTTATCAGGGGTTACATTAATCGCAATGAAGTGTTAACTTGATGGTCAAGGTACACGCTTATGGCGTATTAAGTGCCGGGGAGAAATGAGCGCACAGGAGTACAATAAGAGCAATTATTGGCACACGCAAGTAGTCTATGCAGTGCAGATCAGATCGTCGAGGATTGCGAAACAGTAACGACACGATGAATGTGCCGGAGCGTCTCCACCAAGATAGTGGATTAGAGAGGCGGAGTGTCTGATTTCCCCTAACGAGTTACAACATATAAAGCGTGGCCCACGTAACTCGTCTTAGAGCGAGAGCGTCACCGTGGTCACACAGATAAATGGTGATCCAATGTCTGGGAAATCTCGATCAAATCTTGCCTTCTAACTGTTTTGACAATATTCTTATAAACTGCATATGTTCTATTCCTACAACTTCCGTTTGTCGTTTCAATCTAATTCAGCAGCTATTACAGTTATTAAGATATCGCTGCTTGCTGCAGGCGGGCGCATCTCGCTGTTGGACGTGGAGCTGGGCCTGGAAGTGTCGCGCCGCAACTTCAAGCTGTACCAGACGGCGCTGCGGTGCTGGGCGGCAGCGGGTGACGAGGGCGGTGCGTTGTTGCTGCACGAGCGGCGGGAGCTCACCGTTGTGCCGCTCCTCCAGCGGCCGCCAAGGGGCGTGGCTCAGCTTCTCACCGAAGAACCTTTGCCTGGTATGGGTTATTCATTTTAGAACGCGCTTCTTCTAAAATCTAAAGGAATACCGTATGCGTTCTGAAGCAAACTTCAATTGACCGATGTATCCCTTATCAAAAATCAATGTCACGACAGCAATTTTTTCATCACGTGACCTCAACACGTTATGTACGGCTGAGTGATCGCATGCATGTCTGCTTTCCCGCATGCGCCGAAGTTTTTAATTAAAGGTCACCTGTTATGTTAAACGTAGCCTGTGATTAAAATCGTTTAGATCTTCTTCTTCACTTCTAACAGATGCTTTCTGTAACAGTTCACGGTTTTACTATACCGCCGGTGCATTTGAAAAAAGTACTGTAATTTGACTCCTAAAAAGAACTGGCCCGCTGTTTAATTTACTGCCACATTCTCTTAGACGACCTCTGTTATTTTTTCCTGCAAACCCGATCTGCCTCAAATTTGATTAATAAGTTCGATTGATTCGGGTTTCATCTTCCAAGGAGATGAAACTTATGCTGTTATAAATTACTTGTGACAAATTCGTTTAGGTTTCGTTTACTGAAAGATGTTTCAGTTGCAATTTTCCATCATATTCATAAGACGTTCATGTTTCAGCCGTATACAGTGAAGAGATTGTTGTAAGGAACTGGGGAAAGGAGAGCCTTGCAGCAACCTCCATGCATCTTGCTGTCAGACCTGCCACGGCATCTTGCATCGACGATCTTATTAAAAAATTAAAGCTAATAACTCTGGACGAGTCGCTGTAAGTCTTTAATACTGTCCATTTAGTGTAATTTTTTATACTAAAATTAATGGACAGCAAAGGGCCACAGTTATTGACAAGATGCTTAGTTTACTGGCTCAAGGTTTAAATTTATTTTTCGTGTAGCGGCGAAAAATGGGGATAAGATAGCCGATCATGGCCACTAATAAAGCTATGTGTCTCCATAGTGGTAGTAACACTTCAATTTTTTTCATCTAAATTTTCAGGATCATCTAGTGCTCACCAAAGTTCAATTGGTATAAACATTAAATTTTACTGGTTCATTCCTATTTTTCGCTCAATTCATGCTTAATTCTTTGGAACAGGTGCTGCAAGGCGCTTGTACAAGAAGCTTTGAAGAAACGCAGCATTAAGCTAGCTTGTGAAATCATGATTCGCTTCAGGAGCTTCATACCGGAATGTTGCATTGTTGACTTGCTGTCATTGTTGCTGGCGGCAGACTCAGCTTCCCTCAATGACGCAGCCAATACCTATGTTGATCTGGCCAGCCTTGACCTCGCTACTCCACTTTCTTTCGACTCTTTCATTGACCACCTTGAGAGAAAGAAAGGTTGTGCATTTCCTAAGACTGCAGCGGATCATCCGAAACATATTTCACGCACACCGCCTCCTGTTATATCAAACAAACGACAAGAAAATTGGTCAAAGAAGAAACGGAAGAACGCTGGTAAAGAAGGGAAGCTTCTCAATGGATATGAAAAGTTGATCAATGGTCAATCGTCCCCTGCTTTGCCAAACGGGCACCACGAACCTATGGAATTGGGCGTAGAAATCCCTGTTCAAGGTCCGTAACGTATTTTGGTTATTAATAAATTGTTTTTTTTTTATTGTATGGGACTTTTTCAATATTAATGCATTTTGATTAAAGCATGATGTCATAAGAAGCCCGACCCTGCAAAACGAATATTGGACCTTCGGCGCGAAATAGATGACACTGATCTGAAGCGCTTGAAACCTCTCCCTACTACTACTACTCATAAGACTTTTTCATAAGCTTGATTGTTTGATATTTTTATGGATTTATTCAAGTTTCATGCATCATGCATTTGTTTCTCGCAGGAGGAGGAGGCTGTAGCCCAGTGTGGGGTGGCGGTTGGTTGCTGGTGTACCCTCTGCTCTGCTCGCGCTTCACCCAACTTTTCCTGACTTCAGAACTAAAGCGCCTGCCCTTCAGAGACGCCTTGTCTTTATTAAACCACCTACTCCAGTTGTCGCAGAAAAACTTATCGAGTGTTAGTTCTCTCATTTCCGACGATTTCATACGTTACAACAACAAGCGGAAGAAAACGAACAACGGCTTCAATAGTATGAAGAACGGTCAGACACAGGACAAGGCCTTGGATCTGGTGGAGAATGTTGAGCAGTCAGCTTTAAATTCTCTACAGCAGAAAGTGGTGAAATCTCCCAAAATCAAAAGCAACGAGTGTTTACAAAAAGTTGAAATGCTAAGCAAAACGGCAGGGAGTGGAGGAAATGTGTTGCAAGTGATGGTTCCTCATGAAGCGACTGTGCACAAGTGGATTATAATGATAAATGATGCTCACCAGCAAACTATTCTACTGGAGCAGCAGCTGCTGAACACGCCTTCTCAGGACGCCCTCGTGCTCGACCAGTGCAAAGTGAGTATAATGAAATTGACCTTAATGGATAATGTTCCATCAGCGGTATGGGAGTTCGCGTGGGAAGACTCCAATCTATGCTAATTATATAAGATTCACGATCGAGATGATACTTTCACTTGTTCAAGAAAGAGCAACATTTTTTGACTTCGACAATTGAGACAAGTCAGTTTGTTCCTTTATTAAACACACTACCGATAAATTGTAATATTTTTTATGGTAACTTCCGTTTAAATACTCAATTTTTTGCAGGTGGAGGAATTTGAAGTAGAGATGCACAGCGATTACTTCATTGAAAAATTTTGTGAAGACCTGGACAACGAAAGTTCGGGTGCAACTGCCCCCGAGCTTAGCACAACAGATCAGCAATATTCTATTGAAAGAATAACTCTGCCGTGGTAGTAAATAAATAAATTACCATTGCACATTGTATGCATGTTAATAACCTTTAGAAAAAATTTCGAGTTACAACCTACAACTAGAGCTCGAAGCTTTTCCACGCAGAATCACGGTCGATACCAATCGACTATAATTATTCGTTTTTCTTTCTATGAAAATCTTCAAGCTTGAAAGAAAACAAAATTATTGCTTTGCTTTTACTCAACATCAACTGACGTCAAGGGTACTGCAAGACCCGGACCCGTTCATATCGCTATCTTCACTGTCATCCAGCACGATTATCTCTGCCTCCTCTGTTGCTGCTCAAAAATAACAAAAAATTATCAGTGTGAATAACCCGACTATACACCACAGGAACGTAGCTTGCATGCGATTTTCAGTCATATGCAAAGGATGATTGATTTACAGATAAATCCAGAACAATTCCTATAATTTCATCCCTGATAAATATAATATATTTACAATACTATCATAATGATATTTGGCATTGTAACATGAAATGTTACTGAAGGCATAACTCATATTTAATCATATCAATAGGAAAGAATCATATCAGCTAGTCAAGAGGATTGAGCAGAATATCAAGTTGCGGATCTTGAATTTATACCTATATTCTTGGCAGCGCTCTCTAGCCTCTCTATCCTTATTTTCCCATTGTTTCCAACTTTTTGTAGACGGACCCGTGAATGCAGTCCTCACGTCTAGATTTGACTCACTTGGTGATTTTTGTCTGTCAGATTTTACAAATACCGTACTCACCAGAGATTTCTATTTGCATTGCGAAGATTACTTACCAGCTCCCACCGGTCTATGCTGGATCTGCTCCGCTAAAGCTTACGAGTTAATTGCCATTTTAAATCTTAAAGGGTGGGGCGCATGCCATGAGTGCAGAGACGCACTCCAGTCCACTCGGATACTTTTTGCCTTAGTTTCCTTTACTATGACTCAGCATCTCATTCTTGTGGAAAAGTGCCGCGGAGGCGGGGGCCATTTGACAGCCTTTCCCGCACCTTCCCTGCACCTCTTCCAGTGACCCTTGTCTACCACCTGAGCATTATCGTCGGCACAAGAAACAAAAATATGAATACATCCAACAGCTTAGACTGACCGGGGCGCGTGTACGGTGCGGCTTTTAGCTCGGTCGGTGCGATGTCGTCTCCATCCTCTTTGTCGTCGTCGGCGCCAAATGCGATTTCTGAGAGCTCCTCCCAGTTGTCCTCGGACTCGGAGGCTCCGACTGTCGACGCTCCAGCAAATTCTTCATCGTCCGAGGATTCTGGAATAATACAAAAAATTATTATTCAAATAAAAAAAATAACTCTCGTAGTTTACATCTCTTATTCTGGCATCACATTTTGCCTGTAAACTAGCATCCGTGATACACAAGTGTAAACTCTGCAACAACCAAGTTACTATTAAACGATACCTTTGCATTCACTGAAGTTTGACAAAAAAAAAAACGTTCGTTCAAAAATTTCATTTGGGTATTCTCATGAGGGAGAAATTCTTTTAAACGTTTTGACACAAATCAAATCCATTGTTGGTTCTTTTTCAACTGCATTTCAATAGAAACCCAACCACCTTATCTAGCCAGAACGAACCTTCATTGGATGGAAAGAGTAAACCTCGTCGCTTTGTTGGAGCGCCATCAGACTCTTTCTGTTGGTTTGATGCGCGCATCTCTAGCACTCGTTGGTAGTATTGCATGCGTCCTTTGAGCTGTATGGCTGTGTTGTATGCCTCGACGGTCTTTGCGCGCTGTTCTGCTGTCTTGCGCCACGGCTTTAGCAGCTCAACTCGCTCGGAGTGAGGCAATGACATCAAAATATGCTCGTTGTTCTTCAGAAGGTGGTACTTCCAGTATCTGTACCATGGGAATCTGCAGCAAACCAGATTGATACTAAGCAAATCATAAGCAAATTCTACCATCATAAGCAAATATTTGATAATATCATAAGCAAATATCAAAAGCAAATTCTACCATCGATTGTGTCATCTTATCGTCTTTCATCGACTACCTTACCTAAGTCATCTTGCTCAAAGCAAAACTTAATACAAAAATAAATTTGATAAGAATTCCCTAGTACGTTTGCAACAGCTTTGAGATCTTTCTGAGCCACTAGAACACAAATATATTCCTGACCAATACTATATCGTTGTTATTAAAGGCAGGCAAGTTGTGGTGTGTGTCTTTGCTGTGGCAACTTCTGCATTGTTGACAGAAGGTTGATATGGAAACGCATCTAAATTTATTGAGCAGTACCTGCAACTAGATGCTTCTTTAATTTTGAGAGAATGGTAAATGTAAATGATAGTTTGCGTAAATTCAAATGATACAAAACTGATTTGAAATGTTGGAAAATTGTTCATATAAAAACATGAAAATGTAACATACTGGCGCAAATAAATAAAATTAAAATTCTTTCCCAAATGAATTCATTGACGCTTGAGTGAGGAAACTGTACTAAAGGCCACAATTGGAGGTTAATACTTTATTGGTCCATAAGACCTTAGCAACAAAAATTTGGTGGTGACAGCAGCTATGATGACTATGATGTTGCTACAGCAGCAGCGGGAATAATTTACATATTTAGTGCAGAAGCAGGGATGTAAAACATAGTTACCTCTCCCAGTGTAAAGGCTCATTCCTTATAATAATTTTGAAAAATGGGAGAATGTTGGTGGGTGGAACTTGTGAGACAATCTTTTCAACATCATCCTTCTTTATTTGGTTGATTGCTCCCAGAAAAGCTTCATCATTGTCACTCTCTATTGCCTGTAATAGATAAAAAAATAAATCAGTGACTGTTCACCGATGTACAATGTGCAATTGGATTTTGAAATTAGTATCAATTAGCATTAAAATTACACATATAAAATTTTGTAGCTTGATTAACAATATCTACAGTGGCTGGGGAAAAAAAAGAACCAAAACTGCTAAAAAGCATGTAGAACCTAAAACTATGAATACCATATCAAAAATGAATGTGCTACAAGGTGTGTTGACGCATTGGGCTTCTAGTCATGTTCAAAGAGTTTTCAAAAATACCACATTTTTTTGCACAGAGCAAATAAGCAAGCCAGTCTCATCTTCCCCCTTTGGGATAAAAGGACCTGAGCCTGGCAATGCACAACTGACCTCTAATACCTATATGTATAAGTTGGATTTTGAACCACAGAAGAGAATTGAATCTTGAAATTAATCTTCCAAGAAAAACATAACTGATTAAGGGACAATACAGAAAATACACAAATAAAAGAAAAACAATACAATAAATAAAAACATTCTTGTTTACGGACAGCATTTTGAAACTTGGTAGTGGTACACATGTGTAAAACATAGGTTGATGATTTTCTTGTTTGTTTAAATCTTTTTGAAAAAATGATAGAAAACGTAAAATTAATAGAAAACCGCAAAAAATGAGGGTACCCTCAAACGGGGTAAAAAGGGACGGTTTTGAGCGTTTTTTGTTAATAACTTCTTACCATGAAACATTTCAGAAACAAGTTTAGGCTCATTTTATAGCTCTTTGCAAGAGCTATCAAATGGCATCTTTAAAAAAATTCCGAAAGCTATTTGTAAGGCGCTAGACGCAATATAAAAGGCTCCTGAATTAAACTTGAAATGGGGTAAAAAGGGACACTTGAAATAAAACTCAATTTCAAACATTTGAAGCATGCAGAGTGTACTCGTCTAATACTAACAGTACTCTGAAGTCCTCCTCTTTCATTGTATGTGATGTAGATGTAAAATAAATGACATTTTATGTGATTTTTACTTGTTTTTCCTTTATTGATATGATATTACCATATTCATTAATTACCCTATTATTAATGTGATATTACTGTATCCATGGACATGCCATTGAGCATTGACAACGACCTTGTCCACTGCGAGCTTCATATCAGCAGCCATGTAGCATTTTAACTGGAGCCTTTGCTAACTGAGCTTCTACTGTGTATGCATTTTTAAGGGTGTCCCTAATTACTCCAGGAGGGTGTCCCTTTTTACCCCATCACGCGGAAATGGCTGCCATTTTTTTGGAACGAGATAGGCAAATTCTGTCAATTACATTTTCAAGCCGACACCTGGGCACAACTTTTATGTAAGTAAAATTTTTCAATATGGCAAATATTTTTTTTTGCTCCAGACCTTAGCAGAGGTACTTTTCCAAAATCGTACTTTTCACACTTTTTTTCAGCGATTTTTAGAGATAGTAAATGTTTGATTTCTTGACTAGCTTTATACATAATACAGTAAAAATGTTGAAGTTTACGCCACTATTTTTAGTTTTGCAATATTTTGATTAGTTTAGCTGCTATAACATTTCTACGAAATGTGGGACGCGTGTCCCTATTTACCCCGCCCATCCCTTTTTACCCTGTTCGATGGTACTTGTTAAAAAGGTAAAAACTTTTGCAAATCACATGCTACAATGTCAAGACACATATTATTTGATTTGTAATAACATTATCTAGCAGCTCTAGAGCCCTGATTTTCCATTTTCCTCATCGTTTTTCTTTTATGCACATTTTTTTCCATTTTCCCCATTCCCCACCCACATATATAAGTTAAATCATGCACAAATTCAATAGTATTAGATCAGTACCCACTGCAGTGAGTGACAGAGAGCACATTTTCTTGTGCATAAATCAGTTTTCATTGCAATTAGTACAGTGCAAGCAACCTGAGACCAAGACCTGGGTCACGTTGCATATTTCTGGAAAGTCCAATCTTCAACCAACTTAAAACTATAATCTAAATCACAACATGTTTTAAATTATTCCTAAAATCAACAAAAACGTGAAGTCACAGAGGGATGGACAGACATGACAAGCACAATAGCACCTTTTTTTCCATACATGAGAAAATGCGCTAAAAAGGGCTCTAAAATTTTCAAAATTGGCTCATAGGAAACCTAGAAATGATACGTAGTTAAAAAAATGGTCCATTTTAGAGTGCCAAAAATTGGTCCCTTTTAGAGACATAATTTAATTAAGGACAAAATTTGTAGCTTTTTTACTTTCATTTGTATTCCATTTAAATTTATATGGTATTTTATCACATTTTTTCTCTTTTCAGCTGTATAATTTTTGTTAAATCATGAAAAAAATTTTTGAACACATTTATTGTTGATGTACCTACTTCTAAATGCAGTCATATCAGACAAAAAAAAAATGGAACAAAATAATGAAGTTGTCATAAATTGAACAATTTTTCTTGCTTTCTTTGGGTAAAATTAGAATTTGTACCGATAAACAGTGAAGCTTGGAAAATGAGTTGGCAGCTCAAAACTTGTTTTCTCAGTACTTGATAAATAGATTTATGACTCAACACTCAAGAATGGTTCCAGTCCCAACTCCCACAGTTGACATTTTGCAAGATCAACAGACTCACCACTCACAGCTATAAAGAATAAAGATTCAGTCAAAGGTTGGAGAGAAGATAAATATTTCTCACAATAGATTAGTATCTATTGTAATTTGCAATTTACAGAATGAAACAAAGGTACAAAGCTGCGTCAAAATAAAAATTTTAATAAGATAGATTTTAGAATGTAGTACAATTTTCTTATCTATTCAAAAACAATTTTCTTAAACATGAAATATACATACCTTTACAAGCTTAGAAAGTTGGTAGCTGGACATGGTGATGTATTTTTAAAAAGTTGTAAAAGAAATCAGACCAGTATATTTTCTCTTTTTTCTAGATATTTCAACTGACCTGTTTGGAAAGAACAAGAAAAAAAAGAGTAGAAATTATATACAACTACTCATAAAAAAGCTAGTGCAGTACTGTAAAAAAATTAGGAAACTTTAACACTCACTAAAAAATATCAGTAGCTACCAGCTACTGGTAGTCATGCACAGGCATGGAATTTTTATATATACCTATATCTACATGGCAAGCCACGACTGGATTTTTTGAGCCATGGTCTTATGGGTTTGCCAGTCATTGTTCCATTTCTTTGAGCCATGATTTCCATTTCTTTGAGACATGATTTCCATTTCTTCAAGCCCTGAATTCCACATCTCAGCCATGAAAAGCTATTTACACAAACTTGTTTACAAAGTTGTGTGTTTAATAAAACTCAGAAAACACCAACTTTAATTCCCCATAAACTAGGTAGCTGCAATAGACAAATACAAGCTGATGACGAGTTCATCACACCCGCATAACAATAGTCAAACTGCTACAGCATACCACAAAATGTATTTCTCCAGGACATAGTGGTACATAATTCAGGTTGCTTTAAATCGGCCAACACTGAGAAGAAAAAAGGCCAAAAACTCTATATATACTAATTTATTTGTAGGTTCCACTATTAAAATTCCATTTATTTTCTTTTTGCAGTATTTAAAATTTAGTTAAGAAGTACCCCTATCATAGATTTTAGCTGGCCAACACAATTGAAAAAACTAAATCACGGAATTTGTCCAGAAAAAAAAGACTGTCTGGCAACCCTGTTTAAAAACAGTACAAAAAATGAAATAATAGTACAAGATGAAGCAATCATAGTCAACGTGTTAAGTGGCACCTGAACACGTGACAATGCAGTCTGACAGTCTGACCACTCTGATGAGAATGCAACTACACAATCTTCAAGGAAACGATTTTGGTTGACTCATTACGTTCTGCAGGATATTTTGGTGGGAGCGTTGAAGCAATGCAAGCATGGAAAACTTCTACCATTAGGGCTGCGACTAGAGCTTTCCTGCCATTTCCAGAAGAGCAAGATTTCCGCCAGATAAATTACCTCCTAAAAAAAGTTCCTATCTAATCGTTACCAAAAGTGCACGATTGCCAATCGGGCCGCAAGATTCCAAATGTATTAAAAAATTGACACGGAGCCACAAAATTTCATAAATAAGTCAGAAAATTTCAATCCTGAAGTAATGCAGATTATGGAAGTTTAAAATTTTATGAAACAAAATTTTTGCAAAGAGCAAACCGCAATTTTTTTAATCAAACAAAAATACATGTATCTATGTATGACATTAGAGCCACAAGATTTCATACCTACTGAAGTTATATGATATAAGAGCCACAATATTTCAGAAAAAATAGGACTTTTCCCAACCTGGTCATGCAAGTTTGTTTAGGTAGTTAGGGTAAATGCTCCATATACCGACATCGTGAGTAATTCCGAATTTCCAACACTTCTCAACTTTTTCCTTTATATTAAGCTTTGTCTTAGTTCCACGCATGCACAGGGTGTCAGAATTACGATTTTGAAGCGCTGTCAGAAATCGGAATCAGTCTCACAATATGCCGCATTTGGTCACACACGTGTTGGAATTCAGCAATTTTGTAGATTTGAATTCTAAAGGCTTTTAAATATATATGGCAACAGTTTGTGATGTTTCATCATTGCTGGCGCATAGTGTGCATAAGTGTGGTGTTTTGAGAGTGACGTAAACCAATCAGAACTCAAGTTGCGCATATGGTGATCATCATCTTACTGATCTATTTATATCCATTTAGGATTTCTTGCTACGTCCTTGAGGTGTCAAAATATGCCACGGTGCAGAGAGTGGATGAATATTGCAAGATCTTAGGCAATGCTTCAGTAGCAAAATTTACGCCTTCAGAAGATCTTGCTGACACATTTAGATTGAAATTCTTGCATTTAATATATTTGTCAGTCTTCGGTTAACTATCAAGAAAAAAGTAAGGTTTCCAGAATCCAGTACGTTGGATGGATCAGGATGCAGTGAAGCTGTCCGGAAATCAGTTGCGATGAGTTCCTGCCAAAAAAAAAATGTAAACCAGTTTATGATTGTGTAGTGTAGTTGCAGTCACATTAGAGCAGTCAGACTGCATTATCCCTATCAAAATTTGGCGAGCCTGGTGAGCCTGAATTAGGAACCGCCTAGGACGCGGACCGAACGTAAATCAGCTTCTCTATGTCCGCTTTTTGGTCTACATTCCGATCCCCGATTCAGACTTTTTACTAAATCAAATTTTATTATTTAATACACTAGATGGTACATGCTGTAGAATAAAATTCTATTAGAAAAATATTGAATTAAAAATCTGATTATGATTATACTTTTTAAATTAAAAATTAATTTTTATCAAATTAAAGTGTATTATTAATGTACTAAATGGTACGTGCTCTATGTTTTATATAATGAAATAGTTTCCCATGTTAAACAACAAAAATTTTCTAAAAGACACAAAACGTTCGAAAACGCGGGATGGCAGACGAAATCATTCTGAATTTGAAGTGAATTTATTAAGATAAATTCAACATAATAGGGCAAAATGGAAAAAATTCAACTATGGAACGTATAAATGGGTTTTTATAATTAAAAAAAAAACACTTTCAATCATTTAAATCTCAGAATGGAATGTGAATCAAATCTATTTATTGTGAAATCAAACTAGACACAACCAAAACATTACTGTGTGTGACACCGTCTGGTAATATGTGAACATAGAAAACACAATGTGAACATAGGCAGTGGAAGAGTAGCAGTTTATCTCATAATTTTGTGTGAAATCGAAAACTTTGTTGGTGTTGTCCAATCGTGAGAATTTTTTACAAAGCTGGATGTTTTTTTTTTATTTTAGAACGTATTTATTGCGAAAATGTGTCCGCTAGCCTACAGATAAACGATGGTAGTTAACTTGATTATTCGTTGGCAACACGGGATTGGATTTCAAACCATGCGCGATTTCGGAAGCACGGCAGTTTCTAATGAGCTCAGTTTATAAATTTTCATTGCAGTGGAAGGTGGTGTAACGCGGTGGTAGGGTTGGTATTTCGATACGTTTTCTTATATTGACATGAGAATATATTACCTATACAGAATTCCACACTGAATTTAGTCTGTCTGAGTGTCTGTGAGTCTCAGCATAAATGGCTTTTCATTAAAAATTACCTGGGTAACCTGGCAACGCATCTTGAAAATGGTTGGCGAAACTCTGGGCTTAAAAACCCATATATTGGCAACGCTGCTTCCAGTTCCACCCTCTGCACCCTGGAGAATATGGTGTGTTTACCTACTGTCCTTAACCTTTTTGAGGCAACTCAGGCAACTGAGCCCTGAGGCAAGCATAGTATTGATAGATAGAAAATAGAAATCTGTACAAATTCCAATTTCTGAACTCAGTACAAGAAAATGTGACAAATTCTATGATTTATTTCATTGTGCAAATTTATTTGGTTGAGAACCTTTTTGCAAGCAAACATTGAAATTTATAGAAAATCAAATTTCTAGGGATTGACCCCCAATTCAAGAAACACTGAAGTTACACTCCCAAATGGCAATTTAGGGTAAACACGGTATATTCCGACACATTAAGGACGCATCGAGAAATGAAAAACTATAAAAAAAAACGTATGCATTACGTAAGTTCTGTTGCCTTCACATGACTCAAAACACTTCACTATGCGTCAGCAACAATGAAACGTCACAAAATGTTGCCATATTTATTAAAAAGCCTTTAGAATGGAAACCTACCAAGTCCCTATATTCCGTCACTTTGTGTGGCACAGTGGCAACATCCGACACGTGGTGAGTCGTATTGCGTCAGCGCTTCAAATTTAACTGATACGTATTGCCGACATCCACGTGTTCGAATTCCATTTGCTGTGTGAGCTGTATTGGGATACAACACGGCTTTGAATTAGAACACTAACGAATATTGAACACTACTTAATTACGTTTTAATTAACAGCTATTAGGCTTTTAATTAAGCAAACTTCAATTTTTGTACAAAGCTTTGAACGATCTGTGTGTGTCAAATTCAAGTTGTGTTGGAATTAGTTTTCATGTGTCGAAATGCAACATCTCAACTTAATCATCTATTAATTTATTTACGACTTGAAATCAGCGAATACAAGTATACATAAAGGATTCCTAATATATTCACAGACAGGATGGAATTCTAAAATTTACAGTTCATATATTATTTTGCTACACCTAGACCAGTTTTTTGATACAACATTATTTGAGGCAAAAAAATAAACTTCTTATAGGCTTAAACACGTATAGGTAAAGGTATAAAGTTTCTATAAAGTAATCACTTCACTTGGAAATGTTGCGTGTCTGCAGGGCAGCTTGCACTCAACAATTAAAATTATAAAAAGTACTAGTTCGTTAAAGATTTGTCTCTTAATGTGACAGCAAAGAACTTTTCCATTATGCACACACTAAACACGCAATTCATGGGAGCGAGACTACATAGAACAATGAAAGCAGGCTCCCGGCATGCAACTGACAGAAACGAATGACGATCGCGGATGCAGCAGCATGAGGCATAACGTTCATATGATCAATGCAAGAGAATGATTAATCATGATATTTTTGATAGAGGTTTGAAATATTTTTGGAAGCCTAAAATGTGAAGAAATTACTTTGTTACTCTGACATGGTTGATTTCAAAATAAATATTTTAATGCGAATTCATGAGAAGCAATTAAAATATATTGAATGATGTTCATTTATATTTATAGGTGGAAGTAAACAATTACAAATCGATTTATTATCCTTTAAATAAGAATCTTTGCATTGAAACATCTTTATGATGTGTCTACCACAATATTTGTATAATAGTATGGATATCAAGAGTCAAAGCCGTTAACCGATCATTAAATGGCCGCAAATATGAAGCATCGTTCTACCTATTAGGCTATTACGGTCAATAGAACCTAAATGAACTCTGTTTATCAAAAGGACAAAAAGCTTATATCAAGCTTACGTGGTAGTAACGGAGTCCAACTAATCATTCGTATTGAGCACCATCCCACACGACAGCAGCCGGGTAACTAAAGATCAGCGTCTTCAGGTCGTCTATTTATGTGCCCAACCGGTAATTTTTGCCTATATTAAATGTGAAAGAACTCCCCCACCCCTAACCCTTTCGCGAACTGTCGTCAAGGCATAAATCAACGTACAGAGATGATTTTGGTACCGTTGGATAGGTCAGAATGTCAGCTTTAGAGCGAGACTAAAAACTGAAAAAGTGAATTTTACGATTTTTGTCCCAGAAATTCGGGCGGTAAAGGGTTAAATCTCAGAATGGAATGTGAATCAAATCTATTTATTGTGAAATCAAACTAGACACAACCAATACATTACTGTGTGTGACACCGTCTGATAATATGTGAACATAGAAAACACAATGTGAACATACGCAGTGGAAGAGTAGCAGTTTATCTCATAATTTTGTGTGAAATCGAAAACTTTGTTGGTGTTGTCCAACAATCGTGAGAATTTTTTATGAAGCTGGATGTGTTTTTTTTTATTTTAGAACGTATTTATTGCAAAAATGTATCCGCTAGCCTACAGATTAAACAACTAGTTAACTTGATTAGTCGTTGGCAACACGGGATTGGATTTCAAACCACGCGCGATTTCGGAAGCACGGCAGTTTCTAATGAGCTCAGTTTATAAATTTTCATTGCAGTGGAAGGTGGTGTAACGCGGTGGTAGGGTTGGTATTTCGATACGTTTTCTTATATTGACATGAGAATATATTACCTATACACATAGTGACCATTGGAGATTTTTTAGAATCAGTTCATTTTTAATTTCCTCATTTACTCAAGACTTAAACCAATTTCTTATGTATGATAATGCTGGTATCCAGGATACTTTACTGGTCTACTTATAGGACTCAAAAATTAACTTGAGGGAGAGTCTTAAAAACTCTCTGCTTTGCCACTATGCCTATACAGAATTCTACACTGAATTACTGTCTGAGTCTCAGCATAAATGGCTTTTCATTAAAAATTAACTGGGTAACCTGGCAACGCATCTTGAAAATGGTTGGCGACACTTTGGGCTTAAAAACCCATATATTGGCAACGCTGCTTCCAGTTCCACCCTCTTGGTTCAGCACTATTTCTACCTCCAGGCTCCAGACGTGCCAAGCTCTAGCCTCTAGGTACTCTAGGGCCTAGGCTTAAAAAGTTAAAAGGAGGTTCAAACCGTTCAATCAATAATTTGATACCAAGAGAACTTAGAGAAGTTCGCTTCGTACCTACAATAGTGAAGGAACAGTCTGAACAGATCAGTTGCAAACTTGCAATTGTTAAATAAATATGCAATAAACACGAAAAATGAATACGCAGAATCACGAGAAATATACACCAGAAATTACACGAAATGAATATGAACTACCTAGGCTGAACAGGTAAAGTGATACTGGTCGCGGTAGCGAACGGAGGAGAAGTGGCCCTAGACTAGAGTCTAGACGGCGCGGATACCTGTTCGCATTCCGCAAATCTGCTTATTCTAGCAGATGTTGCCACACGCATGGTTGAATTAATACAAGGTTGACCCACGGCGACGACGATTTTTATTTATTAATTCAATAAATGAATATGACGACGATTAATTCAACCATGGAATCTCATAATAAACAATCTCCAAAGTTATAGAGTTGCAGCTACAGAGTCCCTAAAAATTTTATTACAATTAATTTTTACTTTTAATAAAGCAGAGAAATTAACTTCGTAATCAGTCTCTGCTACACCGTTGAACCGTTCTATCGAAGCTCATTGGTGAACTGTTCTTCGCTCTGGAAATTTTTACATGGGCGGATCTCACGAGACTATGAGAATCCTTAGCAGCCGGAACAATCCTACCTGGTGGCCACTGATTCCTAGGAAGGCTCACATCGACAATAAGGACTACCTCGCCTGGCTTAAGCGGGAGCGCAGCCGTGCACCACAAATTTTGTGCACCAATAAGCCCTAAATCGAACGCCTTGGATCTCTCCGGGCATCCACCAATCAGCCGTGAACCACTCGGCTTTGTCCACCTCCGGCCTTGCATAGAACCTGCGGTGCACCACCAAGCCGCGGATCAAATATGACTTCCGTATTACATCCAAGGCAGTGGTGGTCTTCGGCAGGCGACCCGCTTAAGCGAGCGTTCGATTCCGGTCCGCTTCTGTCGTTTCTGCAGGAGTACGAGATATTCCGTTCGCCATCATGACCAGAGTCTTGAAATGCCTCGTATCCTACGGAGCAACTGAAATCTAGAAGCGATTTTAAACCTACCGTCCGTTGAGAAGATATGACCATAAGGCCAGACTAGTCAAGAAAAGTACAAGAATCGGCAACAGGCCTGTCCAAGCCTATGCTTCAATGCCGACGATACTGTACTATACTATACTAGGAGAAATCAGCAAGGTATTTTACTTGCTTCCATTTACGCTTACTGTAACAGCTGTAACAGTCGCTGGGAGAAGATAACCCGGCTGGAAAAGTTGCACCAGAATAAAGGAGTAACAAATAATTGGGCGTAGGAGCATCGAGGTCGGAAGGATCGCTGGCAAATTCTTTGCTGGTCATCTTATTGTATCTAATTCAGGAGAGGAGTTATTTGTCGAATGCATAGTGAAGAAACACCATGCATAGGCGACTACCGCGGCTGACTGTCTTGATGCTCTTAACAAAATATTCCGTTTGGTGATATAGTGCCGTTTCACCCGACGGCGCATCATCTACGGCAGGTTACATAATCAGTTTTTTTTCTATCTATCGTGAGGAAAGGTTTTTACTGCGTGCGTATGCTGTTCTATGCGTTTGATACGCTGACAAAATATTAAGTGTGCTTTAGATACAAATTAATGCCCATTCTCTGAACTGCTTACAATTTGCAAAAATATGTGAAGAAAATGATCGAACTTTCAATCGACTGCTTCTGCACACTGAAGTGAGTTGGTTATCAAGAGGCGATAATTTACAGAGGTTGTATTATTCGCCATTGGAATTTCCAAAAAATCATGATCAATCACTACGCTATGAATTAAAAAGCGCAGAAGCTATTGTTTATTTACAGATAGTTATTAAAAATTAATGAAGTTCAAAATCATCTTCAAGACAAAATATAATAATCAACAAGTATAATGGGCTCTCAAGCAAAGATTGAGTTATTTGAATGTTCACTCGAACGTAAAGTTGAATTTTTTTTTAACATGTTAATGATGGAAGAATCTGAGAGCTTTTAGACAGTGGCAGAGATATACGAGTAGATTTGAAGTTCTGAATAATCTGAGAACAGACTTCAAAACACGTTACCAAGTTGTGCAAAATATATTCCCGAATGGCTTATTACTCCATTTGAAATGAAAACAGAAAGTGAGTAGAGAGTCTGACTAAATGAACATGTCGAAATCTGATGAACGTAGTTAAATATTTAATTGAAGATTGGACTCATGCCAGTACTGAAAATAACTATCCCATGAGGTTCGAGTTATCTGCCGGAAAATTTTCCTCTCATCTTTTCAGCTTCATACATTGTTCAAGCTGGTTTTATGCATGTAAATGCGATTCCAACAGAGCAGAGAAATAGAGACAAATTGGAAAAAACATGGGTAGAAGCTTATCAATTTGAAACCAAAAATCAATGAATTGATGCTGCTCATCAAGCTGTATTATCTCATATTATATCATAAAGTTCATGATTACATAGGTGAGTTCAATTTTGGAAAAATTGCGCGTTTCCTTAGCAGTTAATATTATAAAACATGTAGAGAATGCATTAGAGAATATTTTTTTATACAATTTTAGACCAATGTTTCAACTGAGAGTATATTAAGAATTCGAAATAATCAAAATTCTCTTGCCAATTTCAAGTAGGGTATTTTTTGACGTTATTTTCAGTCATGAAAAGATCCGGTCAAATGACACGATATTAGATCTTCTGTGAACAAGGCACGAAAAGATCAAGAATCGGCGACAGGCCACATCAGGCCTACGCTTCAGCGCCGACATCACTATGTTATGTTATGTCAGCGAAAACTGCCTCTTTCTCATAAAGCTTCTATTAGCAAATATGCTAACAGTGATTGAAATATGTTGTGGTTTTGAGAACAAACTTTCTGAGAACAGCTGGATTCAATATCATGGAATTAAGTTTAATAAAGAAGCTTATGAAAACTAACAACTCAACAGTATTGACATCTACGACTGCGAGACGGTGCAACTCAGGTGCACGGAGGAGGGCAGAGGCTGCCGAACGTAAGGTTGTGAGTAGCGTGATCTCAACGGTCGAGGTTGGCAACCGCATCTGCAGCGACCATCATGACTACGGCAGCCAGCCGCTGGGTAGATGCCTCACCTCTCAGTCTAGACTGAGACGTCACCCGCGTAGCTAGTGAGCGTGTGCATCTGCCAGTCACGTGGTTTCCTTCACTAGTGACTGCGAGGCTGTTGGTTAGGTGAATTATTGGATCCAACCAGCAGTAACAAAACTCACCGATAAAAATCGAAATTTAAACTCAAAATGACTTGTTGAGAAGGATTGTTAAAAAGCTTAATGCAACTAATATAACTGTTAGTAATAAAAATTTTTCATAAATATTTTTTACACAAAGTGGTTATTTTTTATTTCTCTATTCGATTCATTTAATTTGAAGGTGTTCTACTTCTTGTTTGTCATCTGGGTGAGAGTTGATGACGGCAAGCTGCGGTTGAGTGCATTAGTGGACCAGGGCGCGACCTAGCAAAATGTTTTACTTATGAGGCCAGGAGCTCGATGAGGCGTCGTCACCACCGTGGCAGCAGCCGTGGCCCAGACGGGGCCTGGGGCCCTCAAGACATCGGGCCCAAAGGTAATAGGTGCATCAGCTGACTCTACGCGACGTCAATGCGGCGCACCTTCAGAAGTTCCTCCTCCGTGTCAGGAGTCACTGGCCGAGGCACTCGGCGTCGTGCCCCTGACCGAGCAAACTACCAATTCCGCTGGGTTAGAATTATCAACAAAGCCTAATGAAAATGTTTACCTCCAGCAAAGAAATTCGAAGCGTTTGAATCCTTTGCCAGTCCAAACCGGAACAGACGAATCTTTTGGCCGTCTTAGTCGTCACGAGGAAGGTGTATCTCATGGTTTGACTCCACTGATCAGCAATACAGGCAAATGGAGACCCGCAAGATTATTGGGCATCACGGTTATCTGCATGGTTCTTATTTCCATCGTTGCACCTTGCATTACTTTCTACTTAATTTTAAAGGTGAGTATCCGTTAACTAGGCGTAACTCAGCTCTCCTTAAATTACAATAATTATAGCTTTACCTAGATATGGCCAGTATTTTTTCTTGCAGTTTTACACTCAACGCTCAGGTTGGAATGTTTATTTTCATGTTAATACATACCGACATACGTAATTACGATGAATACATATTAACCAACAGTTGACTTCTGTTGATAAAGGATGCATACAGTTATCAGCATATCCTTGGCAAAGCCTAAACCGACCTCGAAATGATGTAGTAGTCAACACTCAACGGCAGCTGGCCATGAGAGGATTTGTGGTGATACATATACGATTAGGCTATATGAATGCCAGTGTGTCTAATGCACAATACGTTATATCTAATTAAATTTTATTGATTTAACTGTATAGGCTAACGATTGAGAGGGCGCACAAAATTTTCAATGACCATTTAGAAACGTATATTCCATTACCGAGCTTTTGGAATGCGGCAGCGAGATTTTAGTCCACACTCGCAGCTGGTGTTGCTGAGCGGCAGGTCAGGCGGCGCCGTGTCAGAGGTCAGCTCGAGAAGTAGCGCAAGCAGCCTCGGTTCCTCCGACGTCTCGAGACTCTTTTGTGCTAAGCCGATCACATCACAGAACGTGCAGTGGGGCACTCAATTATTTTTCGGTTCAAATGCATAGACATTTGCATTTGTAAACTATGTCAGCTGTATATAGACTGATATTATGGTCGCGATGAGCATAAATCGCATGCTATTTCGTCGAGGTGGCGATTTTCACTCTCTTCCTAATGGCGTCATAACCGAAACTTTCTTGCGGTCTTGCTAACTTCACCTATAGCGGGAGACGAACACCTCGTCACCGCACGGCAGTTTTTGAAAAAGTAACTGAGCATCTAACATGGTAAGAGCCTAAGAGGACACATGAACATTAACCAGTACTTATTTTGGAAAATATGTAGAAGTTACATTTATATATTTAAGAATTTCATATCCCTTACTGAATTAAGTCAATTCTTTCTTCGCTTGATTTGTGCATCCCAAGTTGCGATCGAGTTCATGCGGCAAATGAAGATTTACAGCAAGTTGCTTGGGTTGACTCCAAACTCATGAAACTATTCAACAACAAGTGTTTTCGTAACTCCTCACTCGTGAGCTAAATTGGCGGATGAACTTGAAAGGATATACGCATTAGTTAATGTCGGGGGAAAAGCATTTTTACCTCGTGTAAAGAGGCGTGGAAGGAGGCCACTCCTCCGTGGCCGAGATGTTGGAGAGATTACGTAATGTTCTGTAAATTAGCCAATGATCCCTTGATGAAATTATTCGTATTTGTGAACGCCGTCTGAGGCACAAAATGCCTCACATTTGCCGACATTTGAAAGAGCGAACCGTGTAGCCATAAGAGCGAATTTTGCAGTACTACTTTCATTGCTATTTGATTAATTTGGAGTGTTTACCAACAAAAGGCTAATTGAATTTCAACTATTCCTTCAAATGATTTCATCGTTTATAATTTAGATGAATATGTGCGAGTTGATGTGCAAACGTGAGGAGCCCTTATGAACATGCGCCCACCGATCATATCAACTTAATTTTTGTTGCTCTTTTCTAATTTTATTCAGTAAAATGACGCATATGGTGCCGCAAATAACGAGTGTGTTGCCAAGACTGTGATTGTGTTCTCTCATATGCCCGGTAATTATTGTTAGTTATGCATTTATTAACATTCGTATGACACATTCCAATATTTTTCTCGCCCATCGATCATGAAGTTATTATGTGAGGTGATTTTATTTTCTGAGCTCATAATTTTTTGAAGACTGTGTGCTCAGTAATATCGGTCCAAACCTATAAATTGATCGAAGCTGAAAAGCTTCGCACCATACTTTTTTGTTTTAAATATTCACAATTGTTGGTACTTGAAAACAAGACACATTTTTTGATGGTCAGTTGCGGACGTGTGTGGTCTTTACCAGGTTAATCGAGAGCTGTGGGAACGGTCGCGAAATTGCAAAGCCTACCTAAGCCTTACGCTGACTAAGTTAGGTTCTACGCTGTCGCGACACCCGTCGGCTGGCTTGCGTGTCACAATAGTACTAAGCGGCGTACTTAGGAAAGTTCGTGCCGTAGTATTGCCGTGGCAGATCACGTGTACGATAACCTCGTTGCTGGCACCCAATGTTTCCTCTACGTCGTGGTCAGCTTGGTCTAACCGCCCTTTGTTTGGGGATGAACGAGCTCTGATCGCACGCTCTTGTGTCAGGTAACAATTCGTTACTAGCATTCGACCTTGATTATTTCCACATTAATAACTTATTTCTTCAATGATACCTTATTTGATTGGAATATTTCCATGAAATCTTCCTTAACTATTGCCCTCTCCCTATTTACCCGTTAGCGACTCACGTTGTGACGTGAGCTTAGCATAAGCTATATAATCTTGCACTTAAGCAGTAAATGCGGTCAGGACAGAGAACGTTTGCAGATATGTTCAGACACAATACCATTAGAGTTGCGAGCCTATGACAGAAAGTTGTAATCCAATACTCCGATTTATATTCCCATAAACTTTAAATAACACTGCATTCATCCCCACGATGTGCCTCATTATTGTCATTAATCCTCGTGACCGCTATCACCGCCTCAACCAACATCAGGTAATATATATAGGTAAATATTAAGTGAAGGGTGTGACAGAAAACGCACCCTCTTACACTTATAACGTTTCATAAGATTTGGGATGATGTTGATTAGGCATTAGTTGATCTTGACGTTTTCTCAAGCATTGTAACCTCTCTTATAAGTAGAGATTCTAATACTTGTGCAATAAAATGAGATTATCTGGCAAATATGTGTATATATATATATTTAACGCCATGATGCATTTCTAAACGACATAATTTTTCCGACGTTACTCCCTTGTAACAATTATCGTGTTTTTTTTAAGCTGCCACAATGTGGCATCTTAAAAAAAGCGTACACATGTTGTCCGTTCCATGTTATTTGATCAGTACTAGGGCACGATGTTAGTTTTGTGTGCATTGCTCGTCTCGAAGTAGGGCTATTCGCCAGCTCTCACAGAAATGCCGTGAGAGATCTCGAATCGCTAAAATTATGGACATTTTTTTCGAGTTATATTATAGATCGGATCGGAATATGAAACGAGTCCTAGTCGGGAAAGAAATCTCGTGGCAGCCAGTGCTTAGTCATGTGATCCGATCACAGCTCTAAGCTCTCAGGCGTCTCGTGTAGAAACTGCGAGAATCAGCATCTAATGAGGTCAAATCTGATGAAATAACATCAGCCCAGGCTTCTTATTAAGGAAAATTTGGGACAAAAAGATTTCAAATAAAAAAACTAAAGTTGCGAACATAGTTTTTATTTGAAGTTTGAGCTTCCACATGAAATTGTGATATCAACTTGCAACAAAAGAAGTCTATTGCTAACCAAATTGATTAGGAAACGGAACGTGCATCTATTACTTACATTGTTCCCTTCTCCCGCCCTCTGCGACATATTTTAAATCTTATTTAAACATCGCAGGTTTGAGCCCTTTAAACTACACACCGAACGCTGAGTCGCTGACGCCTTCTGTTAATACACTTTTAGGTCTAGACGAAAAGCCGGCTATGCTTGGACGATTATTTTGCTCATATCGCTGCGTTCCATCCGAACGTAATAGATTTTTATCCCAAACCCTTCACTGTTGAAAAAAGAAACTCATTTCGATTCAAGTTTTGATAAATTATTGCCATTTACATTTGGCATGGCATATAATTTCTTCGGGATATAACTCGAGTTCAAAGAATGCTAGAACGAGCATCTAGCAATGCTCCATATGATGTCAGCTCGGCTAAGCTGCCCCTCTTACTCATAATTACTGGGAAAAAATAAATGAAAACATCATGCGTGAATATTATTTAGCCCAATTACAAACATTTCCATTATATATTCTCATTTCCTGAACTTCTTTGAATTAAGTGACTGCCTTTTTTGTAGCACACCACAGCTTTCCTCGATCAGACCCGCAGCCGAGCTCCGCAAATTCAGTTCAGATAAGAGCGAGCCGTGAATTTTCATACGGCGCTTTTGTTATAGAAGTGCGCGAGAGAGGCGTGCAATTTGCGTCTCGCGTGATCGCGTCTTTCAGCGTCGCTTCTATTTTAATCTTGAGTTCGAAATGAAGCCTAGCTGCCTGCGTCGCTGGCAGAGACAACAGCCATCTGGCCAACGTGCCTCGTGTCATGGCTCGCTTATCTTGCTTCTAAAAATATTATTGAAGCAATAATAGGGACTGGTGACGGCTTTAATAGAGTACTTTGTCATGCTGTCGCCCCGGCCCGGCTTCTTTTATATAAGGCATGTTGCAGCTCTAGTGAAGTAAAGCTTTGACAGCTACAAGCAGCACCATGTATACATAGGGGCGAGTGTCGTGACTGATTAGTGGCTGAGTGCCGCTGTTATAAGTTTTAAAATGGCAATCTTAATTTTATTATGTTATGTTGCTTATTTGAATGGAAAAAATGCATTCGATTTTTTATGAAGTCGGCATTAATTTTATTCTCAAAATGACAGAAAAGACGTCCTTTATCTTGAACCTAAAGCAAATTTTAATTATTTTGAGCGGTATTATTTTAAAACTTATTGTTCGCTTGATGTCTAGTTAATAGTTTACCTGAACTGCTTTGAAGTACTGTAGAGATGCGCACAATTCATTGCGGTGCTTAACTGCAGACTGTCTGTTAAATCGAGTCGATTGCTTTTTCACCGTATCGTATGACTGCTGACAATCCTTCTTTTTATGTAGTATGGCTTCAGACAATCCATTATACTCATTCGTTAATTCCTGCAGACAATTCTTCCCACTCTGCCGTACGCCTGCAGCCTATCGTTTACACGATGGAGCGGAATCCACCTCCGCGTTCAGTAATTTCACCGTGTCTTATGATTGAAGACAATCCTTCTGATTGTATCGCACAACTGCTGACACTCTTAACCAGTGTCTTATGTC